TAGGCTACTTCAAGTTATCCAGAGTGTAACGACAAAACTAGAGAGTGTCGCCTATGCCCGTCGGCATGATGGTGTATTGTGTCATCTGACATCTCCAGAGTGTAACAACTTCATACATAACGCACGTATATATAGGAGAGAGATAGAAGAGAGATGCATTAGAGCAATGGAAAGAGAACAGAAAGAGAAGGAAGGAGAATCATCGAAGCGTGCCATCAATATCGGCACAACGATTATACTTACACATGAATCAGTTTCATCATCAGTTGAATAACTAAGGCTAAGGCTCTTTTCTCTGCGCATATTGTTCAATGAATAATAGATATTGCTTTTATATGTATATTGAACAATAGGTGTACTTTATCATCCGCGGAAAATGAATAGATGCAATTACCCTTTCATTAATGGCCTTTATTCTCACAAGTTCAATATTTTCTATTTTGTTTAGCGTGACTAATTATTCTCTCGTAAACTGTTAAATTATGATTCTCACATCTAGCATAATTATTGATGGTGGTGATACATCTGCAGCTGATGTTGTTGTTGTTGCTGCTGCTTCCCTGTATAAAATGGTGTTAAAAGTTTCATCTAGACTTAGTAATCATATATTTTAAAGATTTTTTTTGAAAACTACATTGATCTAAGATTTTTTAGATTCTATTCTATTCTGTGTAAACGAGATATTTTCAAAAAACCTTACGAAAAAGAACAAAAAGAATTTAATACTTCGCACTGGATTCGAACCAGTAGCGCTTTGCCAATGCTTGTAGCCATTCGACTACATGCGAAGTATTAGTTTTCTTATCTTTCTCCATGTTATACATCTTATCTGTCAAATCTAATTTTAATTAATTGAAAATATTATCTTGTCTTACCACAGCTCTTCATTCTTTGCGTCCACCGCCTGATCGAAAAGAATTATACGTTCTGCAGCTGTTCTTGTAATCTTGGTTCCTGATTTGAATTTTTTGTTAGTTGTAGTCATCTGAAATCTTATTAATTAAATTATGTATGTCCACTACGTAATGGAAAAATACAAAAGACAATAAAAAAAGCATTCATCTTAGAAAAGTAAATGTATGCAATAGTAAACGAAAGTGATTCAGTTTCATTCATTGTCATTATTTATTTCTATCTCTGTTTTTCCTGGACGTCCATCAATTGTTCGCATACTATCTATGATGGTATGCGAAAGTAATAGACAGCATTGCGTGTGATCATCGGATCGATTTGTACTAGTTAGCTATTAAAAATTCAATTGTTTTCTTTTCTTTCACATTCTCTCGAACATATTACATCAAACATTTTCTATCGTCGACACAAAGTAACAATAAACAACAATTGATATTCGATGTACACATATAAATGAGAGATGTAAATCCTATATAGTACACGATCCGGCATAGGTTCAATAATATCGCTCAATGACTTGTTGTTGTGACTCTTATCAAGAGCAAGAAAGATTCCTCAATTAGCTATATCCATATTAGACCATGAATGAAATAAACCTAAATTAAACTGATCATAATTCTGCACATATATGATATAACAGAAGATCGTTCGATAACTTCGTTATTATCGATGACTTTATAGATAAAATGATATTGATATATTATTCAATTCAGAAAGATAAGTTATCAATTTGAACTGTACGAAATATCATGATACATGTTTCATCTTGTCAGAAGACTCATTTGAAATCAAGGTTGCCACCTCTTCCACTTTTTCGTATAAAACATGTTGCATATCAAACATACGTACAGAATAATATTTTGATATTATTGAATCAGTTCTTATTGTTTACAAATACCATGAGTCATCATTTTTTATGTTTTGAAACTTTGATGAAATAAAATGAAATACAATAAACATGAAAAAATACCTAATATTCTCAGAAGCATTACAAATCTGCAACAATATAAGCTTCCGCTTTTTAAACTTCATCAGGTGACAGCCCTATTTGAAATAGTCATAACTGATCTGATATTCAGATATTTTTTTTTATTGTCCAAAAAACTAAAAACAAAATTATGTTTTCAGCATTTCAATTGTCTTGATCTGAATATGGAACCAATTAAATTTTCCGTAAAAAGATCTGTGCGTAAAGCTTCCCGTATGTGTACAATAAAACCTTCGAAGAATTCACATGCAGCATAACACATTGGACCAATTCGATAAAATCTGTTTTAATCAATTTTTGAGTAAGAAAAATAACAACATCAACAATTGTCATGTGAGTATTATTTTTTTCCAAATATAAATAAAATATTGATAAAGTAATAGAATGAAGGACCGTAATTGCACAACTTCAATGGTTTTTCAGTATATAAGCGAAGTAGTTTTTGATAGCGACTGCTGTACTCCTGGTTACAGCCATTGTATGACTACACACATCATTATGTGTATTTTCGTGTGATGGCTGTAATCAGGAGTACAGCACATTATTTTATAACATAATGGAAAATCAAAACTACCCTAAAGAACGATTTTATATAGACTAGAAACTTTCAAAAATAGCAATCTCTAATATTTTCTTGCAGAATTCGTTGATGAATTGGAACTAGATAGATTATCAATTGGTTTCTTTTCTTTTTATTTCCTTGTTTTCGTTTTAATCATTAGATGTTACATTTAAAAACAAGCAAAACAAAAAAAGTAGTAAAGATACAAAACAATTCTTTGTCGATGTTGATCCGTACCATTGCTGTTGTTGTTTGTCGCCTGTTTTCTATTTCTTCTTGGCATCTTTGACAGCGGCTTTCTTTGTACCACGTACTTTCTTCATACGATTCTTACGTTCTTTACGTTGTTTTCTCGCTGTTTTCTTTGGATCAGCAAGACCTTGTCGTACAAGATGATGACGTGGTTCAAATTTTTTTGCAAAATCAAGTGTATCATAGATAAGTGCAAAACCAGTTGATTTACCGCCACCAAAATTTGTATTAAAACCATAACAAAAGACAAGATCGGATGTTGTTTTATAAAGTTGTGCAACTTTTTCACGGATTTCTTTTTTCGAGAGTGATGCACGATCTGGATGAATGACATCAACCACCATTTGTCGACGACAAAGTAATCGATTTGATTTAAATTTTCTTGTACGAATTGTACAAGCCGAATCCGACATGATTTATGCACTAATCTAAAACAGAAGAGAGAAAAAAAAAATATATATATATACGTATGCATTATTGTTGTTGTTGACGAGAAGCTTTAAATTTTGATATTCGTTTCGGTGGTTCAACCGTTTCAGTGAATGTTGCTACTGGTGAATTATTAATAACACCAATAGCACCTGGATGTGAAAAAAGTGCTGGTGATGAATCACCGATAGGTTGAAAATCGGTTTTCGTATGATGAATGAAGATTTTTCGAAATTGTTCATTTGGTAAATCATCATTATCACTATCGACATCCATTTTTTCATCATCAAACCGTACACGTTTAGGTTTAGTTTCAGTTATTTTTGTTGCACGTTCTTGTAATCGACGTCGTTCTTCACGAATTTCTTCGTCGGTTAATTTAGCACGCCGATTTGTTGGTTTTATTGCTTGTTTAGTGATAGTCGTATTATCATCATTATCGGTTTCTTTAATTTCAAAAAAACTTTTTCGATCATCAAGAAAATCATGTGTATATTTTTTTTGTTGATTAAATACTTCTTTTTCTTTATGATGTTTTTCAATATTTTCTTTAATATTGCCCATACGTCGATTCACAATATCAATAGATTGTTTACATGTACGTTCAACAAAATAATTATCACCCAATAGGACAAGAATTTCATTCGAATGTATAATACGACCCGGTATAAAAGCTAATTTACCAAATGGTACCATACAATCATATGTTAAACGATCAGGTAATGTTGAAAGACGTGTATGTAATTGTCGATAATCATTTTCAAATTGTGTCCATTTAGCTATTTGTTTGTCAACTTCATCGATATAAGAAGTTTGTTCAGATATAAGACGTTCCAATGCTTCGAGTGAATCAGGTTTAAGTTCCGACATTATTTTACTATGTGAAATCAAAAAAAAAAGTAAATACGAATTTGTCAACACGTAATTCTCGTCAGCCAATCCTATTCGTTGTTCGATAAATTCCTCCGTTGCATGATTGGTCAATCCAGATTTTGTTCTAGGTCCATTTATTTACTTGTTTATTAAAGTAAAAGTTGAATTGAACGTATTAAAGGAAAAAGACGATTTTTATTTCTTCAAGACTTAGATCAGTTCGATGACTGAAACAGCGGCGTCTCTCGTTGTTATCGAACCTGTCGAAACTATTGATAATGAAACAACGCAGTTAACTCTTAAATGTGAAAATTTTAATTTACATGGGATTCAAACATTGAAATGTCTTGATGCAATGCGAAAAGAACGACAATTATGCGATGTTATATTAACAGTTGAAGGTCATGAATTATTTGTTCATCGAGCAGTTCTATCGTGTCATTCGAATTATTTTCTTGAACTTTTTGTTAATGATGAAAAAGATACATCGACAAAAAAACAGATCTACTATCAACTGGATGGTCTTGAACATCCAGCATTGAAATTAATTATTCAATTTATTTATCGCGGAAGGTAAAAAATCTTTTTTTCTTAATTACTGACAATTAATTAATTGTTTGGTTTTTAGTTTTCAATTAACATCAGATATGGTACCGAAAGTCTATTTGGCAGCACATCAATTACGCGTTGAAACAATTTTTAAAGCTTGTTCAAATTATCTTGCTGAACAACTCAATAAATACAATTGTTTGAGTATGTCACGAGTTTCATATTCAGACTTGTCAAGGTGACTTTACAAATAGTTTTTTTAATTTCTTATTGACAACAAAAACTTCTCGATTTATTTCTATACTGATACTAAACTTTACATATAAATAGTTCCTTTGAAATTTAGTCTCGATATAGCTATCATCACTTCTTATTTCTCTAGTTACACGTCTTATGGCCATCGATGACGAACTTCGTATGAAAGCATCGGAATTTATTCAAAATAATTTTTTTGCGGTAATTGAAACACGTGAATTTCATGCATTACCATCTATTAAAGTTGAACTAGTCGGTAAGAATGAAGGAAAACTCATGTTCTATGAATTTGTTCATATTAAAAAAATAAATAAAACTAGGTGCTACAATACTGAATACAAATATAATGTGTGATCTGATAATAAACTGGATTAGCCAACAACTTCGTAAAGATAATAGTTCACTTCAAGAACTTGAAGAATATGTAAGTAAAATTCGGAAGAACAAACAAATTATTTTCATATATTTCTATTAATTCTAGTTGCATTTACTCTATCTGAACGGTGATAAAACTCTTCATGATTGTTCAGATATGGATAAGAAAAATGTTTATTTTTCCGATTTAATCAAAGTAAAATTGTTCTTTTTCGAATCAATACTATTTTTATATCGTCTGTTTAGGATTATCAAAGTTATAAACTTTCAAAACGAACTTCGATCTCTTCCATATCAGTTAAATCGAGTGATAATTTAATTTTTGCAGCATCAAATTTAAAATTAATCAATAACACCTTACCATCAAATATAGCAAATAATTTGCAAACATTTGAAACAACGCTTATTCATATTGATCAATCTACAGGTTTTATTTTCATATTTATATTAACATATAGTCATTGATTTGCAATCCTGTTCTTTTAGAATATAGTTATGTCGCTATTGGTATTGTCAAAGGAAAAATGATAAGTATCTCTATTCATTTATCACCATCATTGACATCTACACCGAGTACATCTGAAAATGGTCATACTATTTACACGGATGATAATGATCAAATAGAAAATCATACGAGTCCAATTTTACCTATTCACAAAGAGATTCCATTGGCTTCACTTTCGATACCACGATGTTGTTTTGGTGTTATATCAACGAATAATAAAATATTTGTTGTTGGTATGCTTTTCTTTTGTTTATTAATTATAATTTCATTTTCTTTGTGTCAGGTGGATACGATCGAGGTGATTGCCTTGATACAATCGAACAATTTAATCCCATTGACGGTAAATGGAAAATGTTATCGACTCCAATGAATAGTCGACGTGGTCGAGTATCAGCTGCCCTGGTTAATAATAGAATTTATGTTTGTGGTGGTAGCGATGGACAACAGGAATTATTTACTGGTGAATATTATGATTTGAAATCAATGAATAAATGGCTACCGATAAAAGATCTTGATACACCGGTTGCACATGGAGGTAAATTTTGATAATAAAAAAAAAGCCGAAACATTATTTTAAGTCAATTTTCAGCTATGTGTAGTGATGATTCTTATATATATTTAATCGGCGGATGTGAAGGTGATAAATGTAAGAATGATTGTTATCGATATGATCCCGACAGCAATCAATGGTCAACATTAAGTTCTATGAATCGTGAACGTAGTCAAGCAGCTGCTGTATATTTCGATGGGAAAATCTATGTATTTGGTGGTTACACATCAAATCGTTGTTTATCATCGTGTGAAATTTTAACTCTATCAACCAATGAATGGTCGACTGGACCTGGTATGAGAGAAAATCGTCGTGGGTGTGGCGCAGTTTTGTATGAAAATAAAATTTTAATTATCGGCGGTTCGAATGGTATAGCATCTTTAACATCAATTGAAATCTTTGATCCAGCTATTAACGAATGGATTATAAATATAAATGGTATTCCGAACGAATTAAATGTGTCACGAGTTGGCGTTGGAATTACTGTATGTGATGGAAAACTTTATGTTATGGGAGGTTTCGATGGAAGAAATTTTCTTAAAACAATTGAAGTTTATGATAAAAATAATCAACGCTGGAAATTAAGTAATAATAAATTAGATAAGATGAATTACCAAAATTCGAATGATGTGAAAATGTGATGAATTATTTTGTTTATTATGTTAAAAACACAAACAAATCGTCTTTCTTTCTTTTTTCTCGTCTCTTTCTCATATAATATTCAATCTGTATTTTGTTTCTCTCATTATACATGCAGATATTTAAAAAATGAACCCCACAGATATGTAGATGTTTACAAAAAATATTCATAAACTTTCTTTTTTTTTGTTGATATATGAAAACAATAAAGAAAAAAAAGAATTTTGTTAATGATCCTCAAGTTTCATGGAAGTTAAAGTTTGTTGAATTTGACCAAGTTCTTGTGTATCTAATCGAAGAATATCTGATTGAAACATTAAGTGTTGACATGTATGTTCAATTTTATTAATATGATCTTGTGCTAAGACAAGTTGTTGATCACATGCAGCAAATTGTTTTAATGTTGATGTCAAATGATCATTCGTATGAGAATTTTTTATTATCGATTTTACAAGACTAGCCAACGCATTTATTGATGATTGAGCTTTTGCACATACATTGGCTTTCGCATCATCATTCGAAAATGATATTGGTAAACCAGCAACTGGTGTTGTCATTATTTACTTTAGTTTGTGTGTTGTGCAAGCTTGTGTGAGTGAGAGAGAGAGTAGAAAATAAGGATTATTTCAATTGATAAAAAGTTAGCAAATCATAATTGAGCTACTAGCGCCTCTACAGTATGAGAGAAAAGGATATATAGCTCTCGGCAAGAAATCTGTTGTGAGCCCATAAGCATTTCATCAATTGCGCTATACAAAAAAATCATTATAACAGAAGGCCATTATTTTTACAGGAAAAAAATGAATCGAATATAAGATAAATATTGTACAGTCAGCTAATTGAAGAAGATAAAACGAATAAATACTGAATAGAAATAGTAGCATACCAAAAAAGAACCATATGCTTTTTTTTTCATTCTACACTTGCTTTACTATGACTAAAATAAAAGCTACATGTGATTTTTGATCGATGTAGAATGATATATTTATGAGAAGATCGTCTAGATTACGTGTTCTCATTCTATAGCTGATTTAGTCAGAAATTTTCCTATTTTTTATATGCAATGCAGAATTCACTATGGATATTTTGCCGGTAGGCATTGCCATATGGCTTTCTTCTTTCAAAATCATAGTGATATAAGATGATAAAAAGAAAATGATAAACCGAAAGCACATTTAGAATAAACTTGATATTATATTTGATTATCTAGTTTCTTTTTTTCTGCCCTCTCGCCTGCTATAGGGAGAGACAGAGAGAACCAGAGAAAGAAAAATAATTGAAGAATAATGATAAACATGCAAATCTGGAAAAGAAGAGAAAACGATAGATGAATTTTCGAAGTGTACTCGGCATTTTGGTGGCTTAGTGTAAGAACATTAATCTTCGCAAGATAAGTTGTTTTTCAGCTGATCAAGGTTAAATATTTGCGTTAGTATAGAATTTTTATAGCAAATTTAAAACGAAATATTTGGAACATGATTTTCTATGCCATTGATTTATATTCTGGTTATCAATGCCAATAGTTATTGTTTGAATCTGTCCGATGCCGTCGTTTATTTGTCGATTATGTTCTCTCATTATCAATACATACGATTATTTCTTATGGTACAAATCTTTTGCATATTCATCGTGCGTCGGTATGTTTTTAAATTTACTTCTTCCTTGCTGTAGTATGAAAATACAAAATGGAGAATAGATGTGAGAGGAGATTGTTCAATTATTAATAGAATTCGTTGAAGTGAAGTGAAATTGATTATATACAATGTAGTTAGGTTGAGCTGCTATTCGTCATCGAATACATAATATTCTGACAAATTAAAAGGAGGAAGAAATCTATCAAGTAGAAAAGAAAAACTAAAATCGAGTCAGCCTTAGGCATTGCGTGTCTACTCGCATGATCGAACTATCATTGAATTTGTTGGCTCTATTTACTATCGAATAACGATAAAATAAAACAATTTACCATTGAATTTTTCTTCTTGCACAGGAGTTTCCAACGAATGACCGCAAGTCGTTTAAGAAATGCATCTATGACTATTCAAGAATTATTCAAAGAATATGATATTCGTTTACGTCCATCATTTGGATGTAAGTATTTTTTCTGTCATGATTTTGGAAAAAAATAAAATATCTCTTTTTTTTCCATTTAGACGAACCACTTTTGTTGGATATTGAAATTCGTTTAGCAAGTTTCGATAGTATATCTGAAGTAAATATGGATTACACTTTAACACTCTATTTAAATCAATATTGGCGTGATGAACGTTTAGTATTCGGTAATAAAAGTGACGAAATTATTTTAACAGGTGATATTATTGATAAATTTTGGTTACCGGATACATTTTTTCCGAATGATAAAAGTGCATATTTGCATGATGTGACAGAAAAAAATAAAATGATACGTCTATATGGTAATGGCGATATTCTCTACGGAATGAGATTTACAAGTACATTAGCATGTATGATGGACCTACGACGGTATCCACTTGATAGACAAAATTGTACCATCGAAGTAGAATCTTACGGTTATACACAAGCTGATCTCATCATGCGTTGGAAAAATGGACGTGCATCAATATTAGATCTTGATAAGGCTCAATTTCCACAATTTACTATCCTAGATTATGATACAATATCCTATGGAATATATTTAGCAACAGGTAGAACCGATAAACTTTTTCTGCAACTATTTAGTTTAAATTATTTCTAGGTGTTTATCAACGTCTTTCGTTAAGTTTTATTCTTCAAAGAAATATTGGCTATTTTTTATTTCAAACATATCTTCCATCGATTCTTATTGTTATGTTATCTTGGGTAAGCTTTTGGATTAATCATGAAGCGACCAGTGCACGAGTTACATTAGGTAAAAAAACAACAAAAAAAGGACAAGAACGAATTTTTATAGAAATAATTTTTTTTCTTTTCCTAAAGGTATTACTACAGTCTTAACAATGACAACAATATCTACTGGTGTTCGGTCGTCTTTACCTCGAATATCGTATGTCAAAGCCATTGATATTTATTTATTAATGTGTTTTGTGTTTGTATTTGCTGCGCTACTCGAATATGCAGCTGTTAATTATCTTTATTGGGGTAAAAAAGCTAAAAGACGAAAACAAAAATGTCAACGAGAAAAATCTCGAGAAAAAGCTCCTGTAAGTTATTAATCGAAATAATAATGAAGTATTTATCTATAAAAAAATTTTTTTTTAGAACGATCATGAATTAGTTCATATCGATGCTAATCGTGATTCACCTATTGTTGGTTTATATTCTAATACATCAGTTAATCGTAGAAAATTACTAGTGACATCATCGGATGATAATCGTCAAACTAATCATATCATTGATACACAATCACCTCGCATACGACCATTAGTTAGAGCAAATCCTGCTTTATATCCATCGTCATACAATCGAAATCAACAACCCCGACGTACTCGTCGTTTTATAAATTATCTACGAACTCGTACAATAAATTTACGTCATTCTATTCCACATGTACAAGATGTCAATGATATAGATAGATGGTCACGTCTTTGTTTTCCTATACTTTTTCTACTATTTAATGCTTCATATTGGCCTTATTATATAGTGCGACCACAAAAGTTTACTTAAAATAATAATAAAATAATAAATTATATATATATATATGTATATTTTTTATATAAAAAATACAAATAAAAGAACAATTATTTGTGCAGACACCGTGCGGTAGAGGAACCACAACATATGATAAGATTAAGAGTCACTTGATGGATCTTTCCCAGATGAGTCGTTCACAAAAATATACTTGTGATCAAACAGAAAAAAATTGAACAAGTATTGACTGAATCACTCTCCGAGGATCACATTAGAACTATATATATATATATAACAGCTCAACACTTGACCTTCGTGTAAGACAAAAAGTAAAATATGATAGTGCGTGATCTACTTGCATTGATTCAAATCATATTCATTATTATCTATTTTGAACATATTGATGGTAGGCATTTATAGAATTCACTGGCAATGAAAGAAAAACCGAATGTTATCTTTCTATTTCTAGGTAAATCCAATGAATGTTTCGATCAAGAATATTCACCTTTATGTTTCTGCCGTTCGTTCTATCGAAATTCTATATTAGCTGATCTATTTCTTTCTAAACTCTTTCTTTTTCAATGTGATGATTCTCGCTCTATTCGTCGATGTCATCAAAGTCAATTTCATTCAACTTCATTTAATCTTACTCAACTCATACCAACAGTCGCTAATCTTTCACATTGTCAAGAAGATCGACGTTGCCTTCGTACATTACAGTCTACACAACATTGCCAACAATGTCACATAGTACCATCATCACTTACACATAATAGTTCCTATTCGATTAATGAAACCATAACTAATCTATGCTTTTATCTATGTTCACATGATAAATCATGTGGTTTTCTTTGTCTACATCGACATGTCATTGTATCGGTTCATTGTCATAGATGTCGAAGATCAAGACAGAATGTTACCTGTCGGTAGGTTGGCTCCATCGTCGTTTACATCCTAGGAAGTATAGAAATTTTTTTTTTGTAGTTGTATTAAACTTAAGAAGTCGTCAACATGTTTGGAATCATCCTACGAAAGTACAACAGAACGTTGGATGCAAAAGCGTGGTTTTCCAGCAGCGGGAATTCTTGCTATGCTTGTTCTAGCCGCCATCTTATTAGTTTTCGCAATCAAACTAATCTATCATCAAATTGATGCATTAAGACGACATTAAGATTTATGACAACGCAGTCATTGTCGATATAATGATGAAAATAAATGAAGTATTTTATTATTATTATTATTTAAAAAAAGAACTAATAAAAAATTCAATTTCGTTTGTGTTAGATTCTATTTTTTTCCTGTTTCCAAAGCCATAATATTTGTTCGTGCTTGAGATAAATTGTCTGCATGATAAACTTTTTCACGGATCCATGGTTGAGATAATGCTTGAAGAACTGTAAGTCGATCTTGAACATTTACTTGGAAGATATTACTAATAAAAGCCTGTTGAAAAAATAAGTAGATTTCAAAAAACAACGCAATCCACGAAGAACACATACTTTTCCGTTACTTGATATGCAATCCCATTCTGGTGCATCATAGCCAATCTTACCATTGAGAATTTTTTGAAAAATTTGTTTTGCTGAACCAGCAAATGGATATGAACCCGACAGACTAATCAGATGATTGAATGTTTTTGTAACACAAAAAACAAATCTTACCAAAGATAGAGCAGTATTCCCAATTGCCACATATCCGATGAGGCAGAAAATGTTTCACCGCGTAAAATTTCCGGCGCTAAAATTAAACAAAAGAAAATTGTGATAGCTTTAGAAAATCTGCTTTTTTTTGTACCACAAAAGATTGGTGAATCATTAACAAGAATAGCAATTGCTTGACGTGTACATAAATTTGAATAAGTATAATCAACGAGACATACTTTTTCTTCATTGTCAATGGTACGAAATAATACATTTTCAACATGAATTCTTCCATGATAGATTTTACGCTCATGCAAATACTAAAACAATTGAATTTTTAAGGGAATAATTATTGATTTCGTGCTTTGTTACTTGAAGTGCTCTTAATATTTGCGAGCAATATTTTGATATATTGAATTCTGTATGAACTTCCGTTTGAGCAATTCTTGAAAAGTGTTAAAAAAGTAAAAATATTGATTGAAAAATAATTTTTCTTTTACTTTTGAAAAAGATTTGGTCCATCAACAAAATCTTGAACGATATAAATATGTGTTGGTGATTCCAAAATTTCTCGAATAACAACCTTTTATAGAAGAGACAAATGCTTAGAACAACTTAGATAATGAAACTAAATACCAAATTCTGATGATCAAGTTGTATAATGATTGAAGCATTTTTGATGGGTGTTTTCCGTTTGCCCTATATACAATAAAACAAAATGATAAATTTCATTATTTTATATTTTTATAGCTTACACGTTTTGGAATACATTTAACAGCTCGTATTGCTTGACGATTTTTTAGTCTACATGTGTATACATCAGCAAATTGTCCGCTGAAACGAGGAGAAAAATTTATCTTTTTAATGCTTTGTAACTTCTATTCAACTGAATAAACTACTGATTGATGGGTTCGTCAAGATCGTAGAAATCTTCGAATTGACGTACTAATGTGCTACCACCAATCCAACGTGGCTGTTCTACCGGTAAGTTTTCAATTTGTTGATGTTCTTCTACCATTATGAGAATGTAGTGAAGAATATACCTTGACAATCGCAAACAGAAAAAAGTGTAGTGGCAACAAGAAAAAGCTACACTATAGATTTATGGGCAAAAAGAAAAACAGAAAAACATTCATCGTCAATGCAAGTAGAAAAAAAAACTCTTTAGTTACACCGTTGCAAGCGCAGAACGAGAAGTGTCGTTTTACTGCTTTTCATTATTATTCATGTACGTGTTGTACAAACGCATTAGACATTACATGAGATCAAAAATAATTTCCACGTGAAAGAAATCTTTGCATTTCTTTTCTCTTTCTTATTTGTATCAAACGAACATACAAGCAACTATCTGAATTTTTTCTTATCTATTATCACACAAATATTGTTTTACGTCGTGCAACGTTCCAGATAGCATTGTTTCTTCTTTTCGTAAAGAGAAACAGACATATTGAGTGTGAACTACTACCTAGGTACAAACGAAGGAGAAAGTTGAATGTGTTAATACGACATCAAACAAATATCCTGTTTTATTGTAATCATTCTGTTTCTTTTTTTGCTACGCTTTATTAACGGCGTGTCATAAAAATATACAAAAAAATACAAAAAAAAAAACTAAACAAAATTATTGATAACTACTATTACCAAACAAACCCCGAGTGTCCTAAACAAGATTAAAGCACCGATAGAGAAGCCGATAAATCACAAGGCTATTTCATATTTCCATTATTTTTACCATCTAACATGTCCTTGATATTCTTCTTTTAATGAGACTCGTTTGACTGTTTCATAACCAAATATAATTAGTAATGAATAAATACAGGAATGCGATAGACGAGCTGTTAAACCTTTTGTAAAAATATGAAAACGTTCTTCTTGCCATAATTCACGCATAATTTGTGGTACTCTTCTTCGTTCTCGCTCCACCTGTACACGTGTGCGACATACATCGATCGGATTTGTAGCAATAGTCGATGTAAACGATGATAAAGCACCAGCTATACATTGAATAAGCAGTAATGGAACTTCGATTGCTAAAACAAAAAGACATTAGCCGAGCGTAAGATTGAAGACAAAAAAACTTTATCTTACGAAACATGCTTTCAATATTGAGCATTTGTCTTTGATAGAAATAATATGATGGCCACCACACCCCACTCGTTAAACTAAACAGGAACGTTGAAACTAAATAGCCACGATAAAAGCCTTTGAAACTAATCTTTGATTTACTGTTTTTATCTGCGTTTTTTTCGTAATATAAGGTTGAGCATATATGTTTGAATATTAAATAATTACTATGACGAATTTCTTTAGGCACATGTATACGACGCACATGTCGATTTTTGAGAGAACCAGATGATGACTTAGAGGATACATCATCTTTAAAGCGACTCTTTTTCTCAGATGATGATAAACCAACTAATTGCATATGTTGAGATACAATATCAATAGGACACGCAAGTATTTGTGAACACATTGAACCTACAATACCACCAATGCCTGCACGTAGATATTCATTTGTAGTTAAAATATTTGCGCGAGCACGTGTCGCTTCAAATGTAGTTATATAGATTAAACCTGGTACTAATTGACAATTATAAACAAGAAAACCTTTATACAATGAACGATAACCTTCGTAATGGATTGTGGTACGTAGTGCGTGCCATGTTCCTCGGTAAATAGATGATTTTACTTGAACTTGTAAACGAGTTCGAACAAGAGTAACTGGATATAAAACTGAACGAACAATAAACGTTGATAGAAGATTCAATGGAATAAATCGACTTTTATCGAGCATAGGCCAATCAATGTCATAGGTTAGATTGGGTTCATCACTTTCGGACATTGAATACTTAAAAAAACAAACAATTTAACAGAATTTATGCACCCCATGAAAATCTATTTGTAGGCTTTTTTTCCTTCTTTTAATATAAACAAACAAACAAACACTTCCGAACAGTCAATACAATTGTCTTTTTTTTTCTTTTACGAAAGAAAACACAAAAAAATGAAGTTTAGCGTTTAACACACAGCAAACAAGAAGAGCAAAAAAATATTGTTTCCTATTTAGAGAATCACAAAACAAAAAAGAGAACTATTTTGATGATGCCTGCATTAATGGCGTGGCTCGTTGTTGAACAATTTTTTGTACTAAGCTTTGACTTGCCATCAGTAATAATTGAAAACGTTTAGACATTGTTGTTGATGGATTTGCTTGAATATATGCATATAGCTTTTTGCTGAGATCAATCAAAACAGTTTGTAAATAATCACGTGCGCTTGGATGAGATATATCCAGACAAATTAAAGATTCGTGCAAATAACTAAAATAAAGAGTCCAAACTTGTTAGACATAAAAGAATTTTACCTGTATTTTAATTCTTGATGTGTATTTAAATCAGCTGCAAGTTGTTGAATTAAAGAAAGAAGAACAGGAGCTTGTAGAGGACATGGTTGAATGGAAAACAGTTCTGTTGGACGAACATTTTCGCATAGATATAAGACAAGATTTAAATCCGATGCTGACAGTACATATTCAAATGCTTGATTTAATTGGCCGAAACGAGCAAGTTTTAATATGTGCTGTTGTTTAGCGTCTAACGTTGAATTTGTATTTGTTACAGTTGGCGCTGGTGAAGCTACAGGAGCAGGGGGAGCGGGAGTTGTTGTTCGGCTAGGTGCTGGTTTTGGAGCAAGAGTTTGTCGAAGTAAAGTATTCAAATCATTTTTTTGAGCAGCTAATGCTTCACGAAAGATTGAAGCTGTTTCATCACGTAAAATCGATCGAGTTGTTTCTCGAACTCTGAAATAGAAAAATATTTTCATCAGCGACTACGAAGGAAACAACAGGTAAATTCAAATCGTAGATTATCTCGCACAAAAAAAAATTTTATTCTTACATCGTCGTTAGATTTGCTGTTACATATTGAGTAATATCACTTTTGATTGTAGTTGCCAATTCTTGATTTTTCTTTTCAAAGTCTTTATTTAATTGTGTTGATTCTTTACGAATTTCATTCATCATTTGTTCACGCTGTTGAATCAATGAACGTTGTTGTTGTCGGCCATATTCAATCATTTCTTGTAGATCTTTAATAAATCGATTTTTGTTTATTTCAATAGATACAATCAATTCGACCTACATTCTTTTGTACCACGTTTAAATACATCGTTTGTTTGTTGAAACATATTTGTAGCAGCTTTTTCGAATGATGGTATTACACTTTGATTGAACGTATCACGATAAGACGAGACCATTATTGATTGAATAGCATTCGATATGGTATGACTTAAAGAATCAATCATTGTCTTCGAAAAACAAATTAAACGAAACATAAAACAGCAAGAAAAATTAACAAACAAAACAAACTTTTGAGCGAAATATTTGTGTAATTGTTTGTTTGATAACTGTATCAGTTGCTAATAATTTAGCTGCAAGATCTTTATGTAAATTGTCTTTCATATCTCGATAGGGTTCAAATACAGATTTCATTGCTAGAATGGGAAAAAAAAACTTTTAGCACCATCCTCTGCCTTGCTGCTGTGCGCTACTACCGTCTTGTACGTATGTTTCAGTTTTTTCAATAAGTAACGCTTCTAAACGATTGTAATGTACATCGGATAATGGTGTTTGTGATTCGCTGTTGGCCACGACTTGTACAGGTGCTGCATTTGGACTTGGCCGACTTGGTCGAGAAACAATACCTAGATTAAATAGATTCACATTGAATAAAATTTCAATAATACGAATCCTATTTACCAGATTGTTCAAGATTAATTATTCTATCGACTTTGCTCGATAGATGATCAAGACGTTGGCAACATTGATCGAGTTTCTTTTCATAATTCAATTGTAATCCTATTGATTGAAGAGATCCCGTTGGCATATTCGTTTTGTGTGAACGAAAGTCATTTAATAAACGAGTTAACTGCCGTATTTCATGTAACGCCTAAAAGTTAAAAAGAAATTATAGAACACGATGAGCTTAGTTTTTATTTTTTACATCAGAATTTAATCCTATTTGAGAACTATTTGGTGAGCGTCCACCACGTCGTTTTATGCGTGTGTGCAGAGCACTTTCTTCATCGGCTGTTGAATCATCATCTTTATCACTTCAAGTAGACAGCAACAAGAAAATACAAGAGTTTTACTGTTGACATGAATTTTACCTTGTTTCTGTTGGATCACTAAAATCATCGATATCTTGATGGCCCGATGTATTTAATCCTCTTGAAAGAAATACGAGTATTTAGAAAAAACGTGAAAACATAATTTATTCTTTTACTTCATGGGACTTTTCTTAGACCAACGCGAGTTATCATTGTATTTTGGTGGAGATAAAAGTGGATCTGGATTACCACCAATCTAATGAAGAAAAAAAATGAGATTCTAGATATTCTTTGTTTTTTTTGTAAAATTCATACTGGTTCATCGTCATCATTTGTTTTAATTGGCATAAATACGGTATCAACATCATCATTATCATCGTGCGTTACTAAAACCATAATTCAATTGGCAATAGGATAAAAGTTAAATTTACGAGAGAATAACATACTATTTTCAAATTGAAGAGGATAGTTTGTTGTGCATGACATACTTTCAGCAACTTCTTTATCGTCCCGATCATACGGTGTTTGGGCTATACCTAAATGTTGTGGTTTAAGCATTAATTAGCGATCAGAAAAAAAAAGAATTGCCATTCCTGCTATCTTACCATTGATAATTAAAGATGACGAATCTTTATCTGTTGCTACTTTCGATTTAAATCGATCATTGATTCGACTACTTGGACTTGTAGATATAGCCGTCGCTCCTTGCTGTTGTAGTTGTTGCGATGGTGAAATATGTATGCGATGTTGTTGTTGTTGTTGTTGTTGTTGTCGAGTAGTAACAGCATCAAATGCTGTTGTATTACCGAGTAAAAGACCATGAAGAGGATCGATTGTTGATATTTTATTATTGACCGTTGTCGGTGATGAAAGTTGATTTGTCGTATTATTTACACTTGTTCCCGATCCGTCATGACTGGCCAGTAGAGAACGTGCTGTATCAACAGTTGGTAGACCAGTTACATTAGTTAAAGAACTATTCGGTGTAAGTAAATCATTAATACTATATCTAAAGTATCGATAATCGCTATATGAAAAAGATTATTACAATGAATTTTCCTACGGTGGAAGAGCTGTAAACTCATTGGCAGGCGGTTCTATACGATTCATATTTGTTGGTGATGCTGATAAATCTTCATTACGTAGATAGGACATATATGGTTCGAAGTGAAAATCTAATAAAAAATAATTTCAATTTTTTTCGAAAGAATTGTCAAGTTTGTTTTTGTCTTACCTTCAGCAATATTATCTTCTATAGAATTATTCTCTTGTTTGAAATACACAGGATTTATTGTCATAAAACGATTCGTTTTGAAAACAAGTAAAATTTCTTGAAAAAATCTAATAGAAAAAGTTTATCTTAAATAAAAGTCGTTTTTATCTTCATGCCAATCGTACTTTGTATGAATACTGTACATTTTAACACCATACGAAACAAAATCAGAATGTTCACCTAAGAATTCGAACAAAAAAAGAGCTGAATGAAAAATTATTTAAAACAACAATATTACGATTTATTTGATCAGCAGCTGTTATTGCAAAACTTAACGATGGAGAAGTGATCGAATTAAAAGCATTTATGGATGAAAAATGCGCTCGATTATTTTCAGCATCTTGATATATCGTAAATACATACAAAGACTAAATAAAATTTTTCATTTCAAATAAATCATAGATAAAGTTTTCTTTTACGTTTCGATTTATATCAGAAAGAATAAGAAAGCGTGATGTTAAATCAATTGCAGCTTTAAGCAAAGGCATCTGTAATGCATTATTATTGTACAAAGAATCAGTAAATGAATATTGAAGACTTAAAAGAAAAAAAAATAACATTATAAAATATATCGCATTAAACTATAGAAACAAAACTCTATCGTTTCCTAAACAAAAATGTGTATCGGACCAAAGTCAAACTCAAAAAGAGTACAGGATGCCTGGTTCAGAATTCAGTGTGACTACATGTTATGTAAACAAAATAGAAGTTCTATTCAACACTAGTTCTCGATCGAATGGCAGAAGCAAAACACATTTAAATACCGGATAATTTGTAAACAACTCCAATTGGTACAACTCCAAACTCTAAGTTCTCGGTTTTCATCACAACCTGAAATAGCATAGCGCCATAATTGAGTACTAAAAAGAAGAAAAATAGACAGTTTAAAATGTATCAGTTCGATTTGATTTTTAACTAACTCTTGTGTTAAATTTTTATGATCGTCAAGAAAAAATAATGATGAAATCGGCCGACCTTCATGTGGTATCCACAGATGTAAACATCTACAGCAAACAAAATTCTTAATTAATAATTTCTCATTTTCTTCGAACAAATGATCTCTACCTGCATGTTTGAGGTTGATCGAAATTAATTGAGAAGAATTTTATTTCACCTTTATCTGTTCCGGTTCCTAATGCAGTACCGTCGGGTGAGAAACAAACACATGTGACGTTCTAAAATTGAGAAATTCAATTTAAGATAATCCTAATTTTCAAAAAAACGTGCCAAACAAGTATCTTGCTTTCTTTCGACTTACACCATTATTATCCTCATATGTTAAACGACCATTTTCAATTTGATTCAAGTTTATTCTATTTTCCGAGATACATGATTGTGATGCAATATCAATATTAAATACTTCGACCTAATTGATTAAAATAAAACAAAATTTTTTTTTTTATCATTTTCCTAATCATTATAAATAATAAAACAAACCTTTGAGCCACACGTCACACTTAGCAAAGTGTATGCATCATTATCTTCACTATCGTTACTGTCAGGTATAAAATAACACCAGGATAATGTTGGAGGACACTGACTATTCGAATATTGTAGATCGACATATAAGATTACAGTATGTCTACGACGAAAGGAAAATTGATTTCTCTGCTTTTGCAGTTCAAAAAAAAATAATCGTACTGTAGTTCATTGGGTTCATCAACTTTTTCTATGCGATAAATACGTAAATGCGATGCTTGATCAACACATGCCAGAAGGACATCATCAGAATATGAGAATGCTAAATCATGAATATCACCCGAAAATGGAGGATTTATAACAGATCGAAAATCCACTTGTTTATAGAAAACACAGACAATATCATCACCATTTTGTCCTAAAAAAACGATAGATTAAAATCATGAGATTTCTTTAAAAAAACGTGACTTACTTTTAAGTGAATAGGCAACAAAATTTCCACAGGTAACGACCAAATGGCCAGAATAATATCGTGATTCCCAGTCATGATCAATTATTGGCTGAGAAAAAACCTTAGAAACAAAGTGAATGTTTGATAATGAAATCATAGTGTGAAATATATCCGTTATTCTATTGAAATCCTTAAATTCAGTTCAAAAATTGACTATTGGTTTGACGTCTATTTGTTGAGTCTGTGGTTCAAAGGCGATATTTATTCCATTCTATTATATTATCGTTTTGCAATACCCAGAGGAGTGTTCCGCGAAATATGAATCTATGCCTACAAAATTGAGCGACGTTTCTCAATGCGAGGAAGTAAAAATTGGTTCTTCTGGCAATGATAAGTACACAGGAAAATTTTCATAGGCTTGCTCGTTGGTTTCTCTCATCGACATATTTTCCTCTGGATGATGCATTAGAAAAGCTCGTTCTCGTCGCATAAAATATTAATAATAAAAAAACTATTCTATTATACTTGGTTATTATCGTTGGTTGGTGTTGTTTCAGTAAGTAGATTTTTTCGATTTGCTAACTCTATATCAACTTCACGACGCGTTATCAAATGTGTACATTGTATTGGGTCGTTACTGTTTAATTCTCTAAACAAAAAGCAGCATTTCGAAACAATGATTATCTAAAGAAATCTATTTATTACATTTGTTGATGATGTTGATCGTCTAAATCGAGTGTACTACAAAACAAAAATTATGATACCATACACCAGTATAAATAGTTGAAAAACTTACACATTCATATCTTCGGTAATAATATAATTAAGAAAAAAGAAAGATATTTTATTTTTAAATAAATATTATCTAAAAAATTAGTCTGCAATTATTAACAATTTTTCTCTCGACGTTTGATATATTTCAACGCGTCGTGGATCATCAAGCCAATCAGATACAACTCACCTTACTGGACATACGAATAGAGAAGAAAAAAAGTGAAGTATTTACATTCTTCTCCAATCGACTTACACGCCCATGCGAACGGATACATACAGACATCACTCAAACTATTTCATCTATTTCTTTTCACTCCTACGCATACATATGCAGGCATACACGTTTATATATGCATGTGCACGACAAGAATAGAACAATAATTGTAACTATTAAACAATGGATACGACTTTAATAAACAACGATGATCAACAACTGATTCAAATGTCCGCATTATCATCTGAAAAATATTCAAAAGAAAATCATAATGATCGTATGTATGAAATAAACAATTCAAAAGATGGCGAATCGAAAATTAGTCAACAGACATATTTTAAACGATTATTTTCATGGCCTATTCAACTTCTAAGATCATTGCATAAACCATGTTTTTCCAATCGTAGCCTACGTCAAATATTTTTGTTACTTATTACATTTATTGGTTTCACTAGTTTTACAATTGCACTCATCGTAGGTTCAAGTACTGTACAATTTAAACAACAATGTCCACTTTATGCTTCATTTAAATTTGAAACATTAAGTACAACGATAAGTAATTGGACAGTTAAAATTGAACCCGCATCGGAAAAATTTAGTTCACAGTCAACATGTGACTTTTGCACATTCTTTAATGTTTGCACATTTATTTATTGTATTATGACAGGGTTCTTTTTTGTTCTGTTTAATGGTGATCAAAGTGTGGTGGCAACAAATGATCGGTATTTGATCATTCCGTGGTAAGAAAAAATAAAACGAAAAATTCTTCTCGATCTATTTATAAATCTCTTTAGGTTTACAATGTCAGTTATTCTTGGTGTATTAGCCCTAATAAATGCATCTGTATTAACAAATGGCTTTTTAAAATTTTGTACAACAATCACAACAAATAATAGACATATTACTTCATGTACTCAATTGAATCAAATATATTTCGAACAATACCCAAATGTCTCATTATTCTTCGTCTATATGCTCGTCGCTATAATTGAATCATGGTTTCAACTAGCACTTTTTATCGGTGTTATAACTATTCTTACTATTCGTCTCAGTTCGTTATTCGAATGGAATAGTCATGATCATAAACAACTACGTGAAAACTCGTGTGGAACAATTATATAATCAGTTCGAACAAAAACGCCTGAGGTAGCTATATAGAAAAACAAAAGACTAGTTTTTGTAGCTGAAAAAAAAGAGAAGATTTATTTCGTTTGTTTGTTTTTGTACATGTATAAAAAAAAGAAGACGTAAAATATGCAAAACAAAAGAGAACAAAAGAACAATGTTGCCTGATAAATCTGAAAAATCAAAATAGCTCGAAAACAAATTTCACCCGGTTAGTTTGAAATAGGAATAATCACAATGAATATATATATATATAAAATATACAATTTCTTGTCGAATTAGAGCTATATGACAAGAAAACTGTTTTTATAAGTTCTTATTTATCATTAATCAACAATGTGCCAATAAAATTTAATTTCGAACACCATCTTTTTCAAGTTTTTCGAATACTTTTCGAGCATTGCGAATATTCATTAAAGTCACTTCCGAAGCTAAATAGAAACGAAAAAAAAGTAATAATTAATAGATAAATCAATGATACATATGCTGTCGGAAATGGTTTTGTACATTTTTATTTAATCCAAGTAGACGAATACGACTATCGCTCTACTTATTTCTGATATAAAGAATAAAAATTCATCTGAGTCAAACTTACAAATAGTTGGATCACTAATGACAACCATAACATATGTATTTGGTGTACATAATTCAATAAAACAAGCAAATGTCGAATTTCGTACTTCCATTGATTGAAATGCTGCTGCTAATTTACTATAGAAACGAAATATTTTGTTAGTAACAACGATGAAATATCTTTGTCTTTTCCTTTTACCTGCAAGATAATTTAAACTGTTTAATGATATCGCTAATTTTTTCAAATCGACGTGAATCATGATGTTCTTTACGAGTACAATGTGAAATGACCTAGTTAATAGTTTTATTAAAAATTGATCTATTTGAATTAAAAATTCTTCTACCAGAAATGTTGCTTTTTCAAATAGAAGAATCTCATCGGCATCAATAATTTCGGCAAAATTCTCCAATGTTTTTTCTAAGCCTTTGACATTCGGTACCAGTTGATAAACAATTTTCGACCACGCCTAAATGTTTACATAGATAAAACAAAACAAAACAAAACTTCTATTTACCTTATATAGTGTTTCATCCCAAATAGATGTAGGAAAACATGCACAGTGTAGTGGTTTAGAAACATCATGTAGAAGTTTTTCTCGTTGGGCGAATACCTAGAAATATAATTGTTATAAGGGATTCCTCGCAGATCTATTATAGCTAACAAATGCTCTTTTGACTATGATAGACCCGTCGGAAAGTACTATAGAATTTTAAGTCGTCAGGTCAAAAATTGGACAATTGTTCTCTAGACGAATTTATGTTGCTAAGATACGCATAGAAAGGAGCCTGACGCTTGTGCTCCTTAGTTTCTATGGAAACGTAATCAATGAATGTTGACCATTGCCCCTCCTGTTTGGTACTATGCGACGCGATAAGCTACTACATCTCGTGCTGCAAATTCCGTAAAAAACAAAAGTTGGAAATAATATCATACTGTTCCACGCATTTCTTCAGATATTAAATCCATTTTGTGTATAAGACAAAAAATTTTTGCATTACTTGAATGTTGTATAATAGATTCAAGACATGATTGATAATAATGCAAGTCCTAGATAAATTGATAAAAAAGAATGTCTAGTAAATAAAATTTTTTTGCTTCAACACAAACTTTGTCTAAGTCTTGGCTTTGTACATCAAATACATAAATCAGAACTTCAACATTTTTAAATATATTATCTTTTTGTGTGGCAAAATAGCATTCCATAAATGATTCTTGGCCACCACAATCCCATAGATTTAATATTAAATTACCAAGAAAACGAACATAGGATTGTTCGACATCCACTAGAAGAAAAATAGATAAATTCATTGTTAACATTTGATCACGTAAGCTTCGATTATTTTAAATACTTGTAGGGCCAAGACGGCGTGTATCTTTTGCACTATAATTAGCAAATATAATTGAACGCATCGATGTTTTTCCTCCGCCACTTTTGCCCATTAGCAAAACCTATTAAACCAGAAAATGAACAATTCTGTAGATATATATATTTTTGTTGTTATTGTTGATATGTTCACCTTTTTTCGCATCATCTTTTAAAGTCTTGTATTCAATAAAGCTTTATGAAAGAAAGATAATGATGTTCGATTGCACGAGTGAGAATAAGATATTTGTCTGTATCTTTGCTTTGAAAAGAAACTTTGTCAAAGTCCGAAATTTCTCGGCGCGTGCGTGTTTGTTTATTTACTTGCTTCCTTTTCGTTCTGTTGTTCTATATTGGTCAAGCTAGATCATCATTATTCAAGCTGCGAAGACAGATGGCGCAATATGTCAATTCAAGTGATATATCAAAATTAACCAAGTACAGTATCGTGAGTTCAGACGTTTTAATCGTGCTTAATCGGAAATGTAAACATTGATATTTGCCATTGTTTATAAATAATGAAGAAGACATAATCTTATTATAACTGTATCTTATAGAATAGATGTAATCACCCACGGTACAACCTATATTACTCTAGAACCGATATGATGTACATAGGTCCCAATCAGTAGAGATTTTATTGAGTTCAAAACATTCAAAGAAGAGAGACAAATTAGGATCTATTGGAGAAGAGTTAAATATGAGTTTATTTAAAGACTAATTTGATAAAAAGAAATGATTGTATCAGAAAAAACAAAGAATGTGTGTGTGTGTGGATCTAATTGTTCGCTAAGAAGAAGAGAAAAAGCCAAGTTCTGTTAATGATGTTCGAGATTCAGAAGTTTGAATGGCGGCATGGCGTTGGGTGTAGATGGTGTAGTGGCCGGACCCGAAAGAAATAGATCAATAGTACTAGCAGCACTCAAGCCTGATACATTTCGCTGTCCATTTGAATTAGTTGACAATGGTGAATGAGCCCGATTAGCATTATTATTTGGCGCCGTATTGGATGTTGATGAATTTGCTGTATTTCCATTTGTTGGTTCTGGTTGTGTTAGAACTAATGGGGCGTCATCAGGTCCATTATTAAGGAGAGGCTGACCTGTTGGAACCATGAAAATTTTCATAGTACGAAGAACTCCGCCAGCAATAAGTGCAACACCGGCAACCACCCTCACGGTAATACCAGCAATTAATCCTGCGTTCTTTCCGCCACTGGTACTTGAACTTGAACTATTAGAAGTATATAATACATCGTCAACCGAACATGAACTAATGGTTTGACCATTTAAAGCATTTTGACCAGTTGTTGTTATTGTGACAGCACCCATTGTCAAAACTGCAGCTACGTCTGAAGTACTACCATCCACAATAAAACTATTCACGACACTACCTATAAAATGCCACATATTCAGTTACAATAAACACAAAATTTTAAATCTTCAATTTTACAAACCTTTTGTGAATAGAATCGAATATTGATTATTTGATGATGTTATTGTCATACTGAACACGTACATTCCAATTTCTGTAATTTCCAAATTTGTAGCTGTTACTGTGCCTGCTGTTAGGTTAACAATAGCTGTTGACGTTGACGCTGCTATTAATGAGCCATTACTTTGATATTGTAATGAAGTATACAGAGAAACTGTTGCTGTCCATGAAAAACCACCCCAATGAATATCGGCTATTCGAGTTTTTGATATTTGATCAACGATTAGAACCGTCATATTAAATGTTTCATTCTTGGAAACAACAGAAACATCATCACTTTGAATAGCACTTAGTATAGGATTGGTAACTGTTAAATTAACAGTAGCAACAAATGAACTACAAAGCAAGAAGAAAAGGAGTTATAACGAAGATCTATTTTTTTCTTTTCTCTACCTATTAACGTCACTTGGTGTGATGAAAGAAAATTGAATTTGATATGAACCAGTTGCTGTGACACCAAACATTGAATATTGTGTTTGTTCGTCTGAATAATTAGCAATAGCACCATAAACACTTACGTTTGCTGATCCCAAGACAGTACCAACAACTTGCCATGGTTGATTATCGGAACCTAATTTTAGTATAGCATTACCCGATGCATCATAAGCCTTGAGTACCGGTTGAGTATCACATCTACATTGTGAACGGCATGATGCTGGTGGAGTTACTAATACCAGTCGACTTATGACGCCTAATGTTACTGTTGTGAAATTTCCTGGTTCGTGAATGCTTACACTTGATGAACTTGAACCATTACAAAGTGAATTATTTGCCCACTCTACTTGTAATTGACCTGATTGGTAACGATTAATTATATTAGCATTAATGTTCGCAATCAGTTGATCCGATGCATTGTTATTAGCAGACAAATTCATTGGTGGTTCATCACGGATTTCAACGGATTACGTATCATTGTTTGCTGAAATAGTGTTAACACGTCGAATTATATCAGGAGAAACACCGAGTAAAGCAACAAGATTAGCAACAAGATTAGTTGTAAAGAATGCCGATGGTGTTGTAGATGGTAAACCAAATGCCAATACAATTAATTGAGATATTTTCAAATCGATAACAGTAGCATCGTCAATTAAAAATGTTGCCCTTCGTGTTGTTCTATTTTGAAAAATAAAATAAATATTTATTAAAAACATGTAGTAAGACTCTCAAAGCTTATTTTCAATTTTTCGAGCACTATAATTTATAGGTGTAGGGATTTTACTATGGCAGCAAAATATTTGATTTGTAAAATAGTCTATAAATGATCAGTGAAAAGTTTGAATGATCACTTTAAAGATTAAATGATTAGTATTTAGATTACCAGTGAATAATGAGAAAGAGATCAGTTTATTATATAAAGGGTGTGAGTGGGGGCTGTGGCTGTTTGTGTCCACTAGATTCATTTCATCAAATTCAACCAAAGCCATAGTCCACCCTAAATCACTTTAGTCTACTTTTTTGGATACTCGATCTTCACCAATATGATTTTCGCCGATTATTGCCGGGAGTTCAGGGGGTATATTGGCGAATGTCGACCCAACTTTCGGTAATATTAGCGAAAGGCATGTGGACATTCGCCAATATTCACGATAGTCAACTCGAGCAATTCACTATAGTAACGATAGGCTTTGAATCATTCAACTTTGGATCAAAATTTGCTGTACGCTCGTCAAGTTGGCAAGAACGTAAGATAAACTGTATGGTATTTGTGAAGAGTCCATATCATATATCAATATTTATTGGCTGATATTACAATTTTATTACATAGCTTTTAATTTAACAACAGGTTTTTTAACTAATTTACTGGTACTTTAATATATAACTGATCATTCATTCAATCAATAGATTTTATAATATTTTTTCTTGCTGATCATACCATCTATTTTACTATTGAAGAAAATTGTTGATAGAATTCATCTCATATTATTCTCTAAAATAAAATATCTTTTTGCCTGTCACGGTGTTTCCTAGCCGAGATGGATCAATCTTTCTTGTCGAAACTAATTTTGGAGGTCTTTGTATAGACAGATATTATCGAAATGCTTACCTATTAAAATAATTTGAATCACCCGGCGATGAATATGTTATTGGTGATACATAAATGCCATTACCATAAACATCAACTTGTTGTAATGAATCATAATGCAGAGCTAAGGATGTTTTTATTGATGTGCCAGCATTAAGCAATCGAAAACGAATATGATTTGGTGTTGTACTTGATAAAAAGATATCTTAATGGCGTCTCGCTTGACCTATTGACATGAATGCTGATATACACTTTTGGTATGTAAAACCATTACACCAGCCATGATCTTGTGGGCCATTAATTAAATCAATAAAACCATTATCAGACAACAGCAACGGGCGAAAGACTTCGTGTTTCTATGTCAGGATCCATACTTTTTTGAGGGTGTGGGTGCGGGTGTCATAATAGATGAAAACCTACACCCACCCACACCCTCGAAAAACTCAATCTTAAAACAACGCTGGTCTTTTCAAACTACATCTGCCATCATGGGGGAAGGTATCAATGAAGCCATGCAACAGTTAGAAAAAATGATCAAGGAGAATCGCGAGAGTAGTACTTTTTGACTTTTACTGTCGCTGCTTTTCTTATTATATATATAGGATAAAAGTGTCAGTGTTCAGTCTTCCAAAAAACAAATTATGATTAGATCGAGAGGACGCAAGTTTTTCCATTGTAACTTGTCTTCCTGAGTGTTTGAATTATGAGATTGAATATCGAGCAATTAATGGCATTATAAATTGTTTTTTTTTTATTTTTCGAAACTCACGTTAGAACAATTTCATAGTAAACACAGATTTTTAAATGTTTACATGAAAGATACGATTGAAAACGAATGAATGCTCGAGAGAGGAAGGACAAAAAATTATTCTTTTTATTCTTTTTTTTTCGTGTTACATTGTAAACAAGAGAAAGAACGAAAGAAAAAATTTCTGAATGTCTACGCATTTATTAATCAATGCATATGTCATCTGAATGTACAAAATAAAAGAAATACAGACAGATAGCAGAAAAAGGAGTGCTGTAGAAATTATTGAAATACAAAAAAATGTTATTTTAAGTGTCTCTTAATGAAGAATATAAAAAGGGTAACTATATTTTATTCAAGGATCATTTCTGAAATAAAAATATGTGTACATTCACTTTTGCAGAAAACTCATCTACTTCATTTACAACAATAGGATTGCAAACCGATTTATTTCATTCATTTTTTATCGTTCCGAAACGTGTACCGAATAAATTCGATTTTGATACCATTGCGAATTTTAAATATAAACAAGTTTCTGCATAAATAATCCTCTCATCAGAAATCATTTCATTAAAAACATGAAATGGAAAATGTGATTTTAATCTGTACAAAAGTATTCTGTCCTGAAAAAATTTGATTGATACATTGGATTTTAGTTCGAACGGCATGTGTTCACAATGATATTCTCGCAAAATGTTCTGCTTATTTAGGAAATAGTTAATAATTTAATTCTAGGTAAGAAAATAAAACGAAAAAATATCGTCATAACGCATTTTATTTGGTGACAAATGGAATAAACCGTTTTTAACAGTTTACTGTCGAAATCTGCAAAAATAAATTATGAAAAACGCGTTAAAGATATCAACTGTATACATCAATAGGTTTAAACGAGTTTAAACTGTGTACATGATAACTTAACCCGTTTCAGCATCGTCCGAGCAATTTTCTGCCTGCCTGGATAGCACCATATTCGCCCAGGAGCATGGTCAAATACTCCTATTCTTGTTCCAAATAGAATTCGGTGAGCTCTATCGAATGTTATAAATAGATTTGCCACAGGTGTCACCGTGTTTGAAAAATCACAAAATATTATTCTGTCACTATGTGCACGTGAGACCAGTCGAGTCAATTATTTAGTAAGTTGGAAAATGCAAACAGAGTAGGAATGATGTAATCGACCAGATTTCAAGGAAATTGATTGTCGAAAAGTCGAGATTGACAGATTAAGCTGATTTTCATTAAATACAATCTCAAGTGAAACGCCCGATAACAGCAGTACCTTTTTAATCTTCTTTCTTGCTGTATAATTCAATACCCATTCTAATCGTGTTTCACAATACGATGACATTTGAATAGCGTTGAAAACCTTAACGCTGTTGGATACAATAAAAGTCGTTTCGATCCGATTTTAGGATTCATTGTGAAAAATATCATATTATGGTTGAAAGACCTTATATTAACATCAATGATTGCCCTTTTCTTTTGTGTATTGCTGCTTGTGAATGTAGTAGTTCTCTTTCATACTTCTGAATGTATACGCGAACGAGCTATCGTCTCATTCTTTTTCTTTTTGAAGCACGAGAAAAGACGCGAATTATTCGCATATATATGTCAATATAGATTGTGTAAAATGAAGAACAACCCAGGTCGAACAGTACGGTCCGTATACGGCCATTGACGGTTACTTTACGACTATTTTACGGGCGAAATTTTGCCGTAATATCTGGCGCAGTAATACGGACCGTATTATCATGAGAGTACGGAGCGCAAACAGCCGTAAACCATGAAAATTCAGTCCCGTTTACGGTGCCGTATTACTGCGCCAGGTATTACGGGCAAATATGGCCTATTTACTGCCGTAAAGATACCGTTTTGACATCGTTTACCGTCGACAAACAGACCGTAAACGAGTCCGTTTTGATCAACCTGGGAACCTTAAGCTAAGAAAAAAAAGAGAAGCCTTATCAATCTCGTTTATTACAATGTGCACCTGCTGTACATAAAAGTCATCAGGCCCTATACGTATTTCGGCATTCTATACGACGAATCAAGTAAGAGTTTCAGAATAACTTTGAAAAAAAGTCTGCATCAAAAATTAAAGCAATACAACGGATGCATGTAGAGAAGAAAGATTTCTTTATTCTGTAACTGTCATTTTTCATTAGAATTTCTCCGACTCAGAGTGAGGAGCTTGATCAGAGGAGCAAGCCTTTGGTACGATTTAGATTGTCTATGTTAGATGTATATCAACAATTTTTTCTCCTAATTTTAGAGTTGTTTGAACTATGAACATTAAAATCTATCAGGTCGATGTCTTTACTGATCGATTGTTTGGTGGCAATCCAGCTGGAGTATGCCCATTAGACAAATGGTTACCTGATGCATTAATGCAAAAAATTGCTGCTGAAAACAATCTCTCTACAACGGCTTTTTTTGTGCCAAATTCCACCAATGATGGATATGAACTTCGTTGGTTTACGATCGAAATGGAAATAGATCTTTGTGGTCACGCGACATTAGCGACAGCACATATAATTTTCACTGAAATGTCTTCTATGAATGAGAAAATTAACTTTCAGACAAAGAAAGCTGGTGTACTTACAGTTACTCGCAAAAATGAAGAGACTCTTTATACTCTCAATTTTCCAGCCTGTCCGGCAACAAAAGTCGATTTGCCTGATGTGCTGTTGTCAGCATTAGACAGCAGCATAGCTCCTGTTGAAGTTTATAAAGCGAGAGACTACATGCTCGTTTATGAAAAAGAGATCGACATCAAACAATTGTCACCGAATTTTATGGCATTAGCCAAAGTCGATGTTTTTGGCGTCATTGTTACTGCTCCTGGTGATGGTGTCGATTTTGTCTCACGATTTTTTGCACCGAGTATCGGTATTCCTGAAGATTCGGTTACTGGTTCATCACATTGCAGTCTAGTCCCTTATTGGAGTGAACGATTAGGTAAAACCCAGCTGCACACTCAACAGATTTCGGCGCGAAAAGGCGAGCTTTGGTGCGAAAACAAGGGTGACAGAGTGTTGTTGTCGGGCAAAGCGGTTACTTATTTAAAAGGTGAACTAAACATTTGATTTTTCCTGCATACATTATAGACAAAATAAAGCTTACTGATTGATAATAATATATATGGGTGCTGTCTCTCATTCATGTCGATTCACTTTATGTTCTTCGTAAACAATTAGTTTCTGAATTGAAATGATTGATTTTCTGCATCAGAGCTGAGGGTGTGGGTGTTAGTGTGCGCTTTGTGTGTAGTAGTATATCATCCCATACCCACACCCACACACTCAAGAATATAGGGTTTTGTAGAGTGCGTTCCACTCTACAAAATCCTATATTTCAGATTCCAACAGAATGTAGCCATTTTTAGATAAAGACGCCTACTTTTTTAGGGCATTTACTTAAGCAAATGATTGAAAAATGATTTTAAGTAATTTGAAACTATCTCATCTTGTAGAGATAATGGAGCTGAACATTTTGGTATACCTTTTTGAAAAAAGAAGTCTAGAAATAACTGTGCTTGAGCTAAAATACCGAAAAACCTAAGGTATTTCTAATAAAAAAACAGTTTTAGTGTTTTCACTATAAAATGTTTTTGTGTACTCAAAAAAAAAGGTGAGTACACCACTAAAATCGGTCAGTGTGTCCAGCCGTCTGTTTATTCGATAACTCTTCACAATTACATTCGATTGAGCTGAAACTTTGTGCACAGAATTGTCTCATCAATATCTCGGCCGAGTTCGAAGATGAGAAGGACCCGTCAAGAAATGAGTGAGCTATCGAAAAATTCTCATTTTTGACCAAGGGATTTTTTCAAACAAAATATTTTTCTCAGAATTATCCACAAAATATATAAGTTAAATCGACTCAGTTTTTAACGCTGATTCCGAATCTGATATTAGTTTTGAACTAAATCGTAGTTTTCTAACGAAACATTGTCTGAAAAAAGTCTAAAAATGCACAAAAACTGCATCCAGAAATCAAATTGCAAAGTTTCTCATAATAATTTTGGTGTCCAAACATTCTAGAATGACTCATATGTCCCATGCACTTTTTGCAGTACACATAACTCTCGAATGAAATTCGAAGTTTCCACATTTATTTTGATTTTCTTTTTGTTAAAAGTATATAGCCGCTGTATTATTCTCATTAAAAAAAAGACAACTGTTATGACATAAAAATGAATAAAAAACAACGTGCAATATCATAAGCACACTCAACTCGAGAAGTACGGACCTGTTTACTGATTCCATGTTCTGATGTCTTTCTGTCGATTACTACAGTATTCGATGGCCGGAACGATCGATCAGAGCAATTGCTAACCAATGAATTACTTTCATTTGTTGCTTGCTATATAAATATATTACCGTGCGTACGATTAAGATTAATAGTTCAGTATATTATTTGTCTATTCATTCCATTTATCATAATCTATACTAGAGAAATTATTTTATTGAATCGATAATATCTAAAATTAATATAAAATCATTCATGTAACAATAGCAATCTTTGTTTTCCACTAGATCATGTAACCAGTTGCAACTATTCACTTTGCGTTCGATCTATAATCGAACCGTATACATTCTTTCATTGAAAATTTTGAATGAATAAATTTCAAGAAAAGTATTATTTACTTTATCAAAATTTTCACGGTTGAGATAATTATTCCCATTAATAACATCGATTATATGGAAATATTTAAATTGCAATATTTGATATGTTTGAATGAATTTCTTAATAATTTTATTCAAATTTTATTTGATCAAATTGTAATAGTTGAAATTCAAACACAAAAGAGAATAACAATTTGAGGTGTGGGTATGGGTATTCATGTAACTTGAACCTACATTTCAAATGATGACTTGTTCTGTAGTTCTCTATTTCCCTAACTTACGTATGTCAAACTCAGTTCCATCGTTTTGTCTGATTAAGCAACTTGAGTTTGCGGAACATCTAACACATTTTACTAAAACCAATTAAATAAAGTTAATGGATAAAAAAATGATTTTTCTCTCTACTGTTCCATCTATTTTATTTAGAGAAAAGCATTAAAAAAAAGGAATAGTTAGAGTACACGTAAAATTGAATCTTTCAAAAACAAATATTAAACAATGTCGTCGTTTAAAAGGTCGACAATTTCAGCGAATTTTTTTCGTCTTGCTTCATCTAGTGCACAATTACCCCAACGATCTTTGTGTGTTTTGCCATCATAGCCGTAGCGCAGCAATACTTTGATTACATCTAAATTGCCATTGGCCGCAGCAAAATGCATAGGTGATCGTCCATCATAATCAGCATATAATTCCAATGGCGAAAATACACCACTCGCTAAAAGACCATTGATCAGTTCTGCTTCATTTTCAGAAGCCAATGTAGCAAAACGAAGGACTTTTCTCCATTGATTCATTGATGCCAACACAGGCTTTATCGTGGAAGATCGTCGTCGGGCAATATCGGTCGTATTAACTTTTTCACCATTCCTCACGCACTCTATAAGATAATTAGCCACTTCATAATGTCCGTAGCGAAAGGCTTCTTCAATGGACGTAAATCCCCATCGATCTTCTCGATATATCCAACTTAAATCCTGTTTTCTTGAATATGAATATTGATATAAAAATTGTATGCTCCGTAGTTGACCTTCGGCAGCAGCGACGTGAGCGGCCGATCGAAAGTCGTAGTCAACACTGTTTACACAAAACTCAGGAAATTGTTCGAGAAAGTCAGCCATTTGTCGTACATCTCCTTCGGCTGCAGCAGTACAAAATAGAGCTGGTAATAAACTTTCTTCGATACTAACTGAAGAATGATTGATGAACGATTCATCTTTTCCGTCTTCTTCTTCTTCTGGGCCATCATTATCATATTGATCTAACATATCTTCCAGTATTCGATCTAATTCTTGTGTTGTCGTTATTTTTGATGAATTGTCCCTCCACCGCTGAAGATAATTAGCAATGTGCGTATCAGGTAAACTTCGAGCTTCTTGAATTGGAGTTTGCAAGTAAACGTCTACAATTGTTAAAGAGCTATTACACTCCTCAACTAAATACTTTACCACAGAAATATGATTGCTACAAACAGCTAAATGTAACGCTGTTCGTCCATTATAGTCGGTCAAGTTCGGATTCACTCCACATGCAATTAAATATTGCACTGCTTCCAAATTGCCTTCGAATGCAAAAACACACAAATAGAAAGTCAATTCTTTCGCCTTGTCGACCGGCATTCTTGCGCCCAATGCATAAAGAAATGAAATCAAGTGAAAATTCCCATGACAAAACGCATCGTATAATGGTGTTCCACCAAACTCGTCGATCATATTGACATTAGCCCGAAACATTCTAATCAGCATGAGACATACTTCCGTATTCCCAGCACAAGCTGCTAAATGTAAGGGACTACGTAAATCATAATCTGTAGAATTAACGTCGGCTCCTTCATTTAATAGTGTCTTCAGATTTCGTAAATCATTTTGATGAGCATATGAACACAAAAGAATCGGTACAAATTCGGCTTCGATCTTTGCAAGATCTTCAACTGAAATATCTTCGTCGTGTCCGGTTTTTTCCAATATTGTCGATAGATTATTAAGAAATTCAAAATGTGTTTTAACTAGATTTGTCAATCGAAAACGTCGTAGATGTTCTTCAGGAATGCTTATGTCTGTCAATTTGACAGCTACCATGTTTTTGCTTGATCCAGCCATCAGACAAAACATCCAACATATGAGTGTAGACGGTAGCATAAGTGCAGGCATTCCAATAGGAGAAAACAAAGTAGAAATGGCAGCTTGAACGAGAACAGTCAGTACAGATCCGAATAGTATAAAAAGCCATATATGACAGCCACTTAGAACGAAAAACATACCTCCTAGTGCCTGGCACACCAATGCCGAATTATAGCCCCACAAACCCATATGAATGGCTTTTGTTGGAAGCCCTAACAAGCACGCTGCTGACAATTGCCCAGTTATTGCACCGAATAAAGCAAAGAATGCTAGTACTGGTGAACAAATTAATATGCCTACAAGTATAATGATACCGGTCCAGGCACTATCGATAAAATAGATTTCACTGATACTTGTCGGAAATCCAATCACAATATCGATTGATGAATATCGTACAGCTGTCATATTTGATAAATTGAGTTTTTCAGCAAATGTCGTGAAGGATTCAGGTGCCCAAAATGTTCCATTCACAAAAAAGTATCGAGATTTCAATGCACCTAATAGCCATATAAATGAACACAACTGAGAGCTAAATGTAAATGGTGAGAGACCCAATCGGTCGACAAGTATTTTTCCAATGGCCACAAGGAAGATCGAAGAGCAAGCACTCATCAACGCGATCGGTACAATACTTTGCGCAGAATTAGGCCCAAATGAGAAATGAGCGATAGCCATGGCTGTTAAACAACCATTATATCCATAGAGACCAGCACGAATCGAACGGTAATCAAGTCCTATAATATGGGCTGTTAATGTTGATACAATTGTTCCAAATAGACCATACAAGGCCAGTTGCCACTGACCCACCATTAAACCAATTGTAATCACCTATATTGAAAAAATGGCAATACATTGAAACTTTATAGTATAAATGTAAATATCCTACAGTTGGAAATAGTAACGGAATCGAAAAGATCTTTACAATAAGATTTCTACATTAATATAAGGTAATGGGTCATTAGTGAAGTATGCAGCTAATGTTCATGATATAAAATTTTAAAGAAAATTCATCTTCATTGTTCTGGAATGTCAGCACAGAAATATAAATTCGATAACAACTAAACTTATGATTTAGATTGACTTTTCATATATAGTAGTGAAGACTGACTCTTCTGTCTGGGTTATCAATGTATCCTAAAGTCAATTTTATTAGACTTCTCAAACCTATGTTCCAGTTTTGGTTATATAGCGACTAATATAAACTATCAAAAATATAATTCTGTCCTGAACTCACGAAACCCGAGAGAGGATTATTGGCAAACATCACTTGTCCCATGCCGCGGAAGCATGAATCAATAAAAATAAATAACGTTTGCAGGCAGGGATGACCCCGAAGAAATTGTTTGCATGTAAAGATTTCATTAACATTAGACATAGTACCACAGAATGAATAGCATGTCAATTTACTATGACGACGATAATAGTATTTCTTTCGATCAATCAGTGCCGATCGAGAACGATTTGACCTTTTCTCTTGTGCTTTTGAAGTTCGATAAGCATTCATTTGTTGTAGCCGTTTATTCGATGCTTTTTTATCGAACTCGCCAAGAACTTGTTTAACAACTGAGCCATTAGTAAATGAAGACCATGATCGTATTTCATTAGCAACAAAGGGTTCTGGAGAATTGTTTCTTGTTGGCTGTTTTCTATAGGCTTCCACAGATGACTCATGTGTCTCATCTATGTGAAATGTGACACATGTATGTGATGAACACGTGGGACCAGTAGAGAATTGAGATTTATTAGGCACTATGTCAGTCGGTGATTGAGTCATAGCTACCTACAAGCGATGGTAAACGATGAAGAGAGTAAATAATTACGTGTATGATTGGAAAGATTCGTTTGTGACGCGTGTAACGGATGCAGGCTTTTTATGATAGATAAAAAAAACAAACGATTGCAATAGAGCGTCATTATCGTCGTTCTCTTTTTTCACTTATCCTAATATCAGTGTGTTAAGGCCAATGTGCTTACATGCACGACTACTTGCATAAACATGTCTGACTCATTGTCCGCAAATGTGATATAATTTCTGCACTCTCATACTGTACTAATGAAGTATCACAAAAAATACAGTATTTATCTGATCAGCTAGAATGATATGTTTTGCAATCAAATACAATTGTAGCCGAGAACGACTCTATTGATGTATCACATGTTCTAATAGGTATTAAAAAAATATGAATGTGATGGATATCATTGAGCTGTCTACACAAACAAAAAATCGAAACGATTATTTTTACATTTATATGTATACGAAGTCTCAGATAAAGTCAGTTACATTATTAAATAGAAGTGCATCGTAATTGAGTGTGGACTTTTTCTTTTTCTTCATGCGCTCTCTCTCTCTCTCTCTCTCTCCATCCATTTAGTAGTCCTATAAATAGTTGATTGCTATTTGAGGCAGTAGAAAGCAGTAAAGTACAGTCCCTTCCTCTCATATTCGTTCTCCGTTTTTCTTGTTATTGTATATTCGGTCGTTTTCAAAAAAACAATTTCATACAAGTGGTAGAATATATGTATGTGATCACCAAACTTAGTATTATATATCAAGTGATGAAAAACTGATAGTTCTCTTACTAGATGCAACATCTTTTTACAGTTGTTGTGGCATGGGTGCAGATATTTTTTAAATTCACACCCACACGCTCAAGAAAACTGATCATAAAAAGAAATTCTTAATAGAATGTTACTATGGGAAAGAATGAATATTGCTAAAAGAATGTAGGGTTCAGCACCGGACCGAATATCTCTTGTATGATTAGATAAAACCAAAAATATTTTCGAGGAAAAATTGCTTTTATATTGATGATTTCTATACAAGCCAAATTGGTGAGGAATCAATTAAACATAAATAGATGACAGTAACTTTTTCAAACATAATTGTTATCCAATAAAATATTCAAAATATTTATTAAAATTTTGTATGCTCTATTTTTTTATTTCAACGTTTCGACTAGTTAAACTACCATTGCCAACAATATCTGCAGTAAATCAGACTTGTTAATATATAAATTTTCAATTAAAGTGAAATAAAATAAACCTTTTAATAAAGATAAATTTAAAAACGAGAAGAGTAAGATTTATTTCAGAGAGAATTATTAAAACCGAAAGAGAAACAGAGAACAAAAAGAGCAATGAACAGAAACACACACAGAGAGAGAGAGAGAGAGAGAGATGAAATAAGTATAAATGAATTTAGAATAAACTATTGAAGGGAAAAAGAAAGGATGAAAAGAAAGAAAATTATAGATATATATAAATTGTATACAGTTGATTCAATATCGTTTATATATTCTTCGTATTCCTGGTAAGCGCCTTTCTTTTATCACTTCTAGATAAATATGTAGTGGTATAAAGTGTATTGTGCGGTTTAACGATGGTTGATGCGCTTGTATAATAAGCGATTCTTTAATTAATAATTTACATGAACTATTATCAAACCATACCACTCAAATCAATAACATTATGCATTTTATGTTTAGATATAAAGTTTTATTTTTAATTTGTTCAGATCATCTCAGAGTATTATAATAAAGATCACTATAAATTCATTAATATCTTGAAGATTTAATACACTGTTATTACCATTAAAATTTAAATCAACTGACGATTAAAACTCTACATCAACAAGCGAATTATCTATTTTCTTTGAACAATCAATTTTGTTTAATTCATTATCATGAAGTTCAGATCAATATTTAGATTGCACTAAAGATGATCATCTTTTACGATTAATATATCAAGTTTATTCTTGAGGATGTGGGTGTGATGGGTCTACGAAAATTGGCCGATACGAAAATTCATAGGAATAAAAAACAATCGAGCTTAATTTTAAAAAAATGATCTTCTAAGTAAAACTTGCAATTAATACTAATAAGTTGAACGATAAAAAAAAGAACTTTCAGATCATCATAGAGAAATTACTCATCAAAAAGAGCACATATTTGTCTGAAATATGAGAATTGTTATATGCTTAGATTACTTCAAATAGGCTTATCAATTTTTTTGATAACATCTATCATAATAAGCTAGAGTTCACTTGATCAAATAATGATTAGACTAAAAGACTCTTAATACATTATATAAAAAGCTAATATATGTAAACGGAACACTACTATTTTTCATAAATGTCAACGTTTACATTCAGTACAACAGAAAAGAACAAACCTTTATTAATTTGTAAAGGCTTTACTTATACTATCGATAAAACAACTAATGATAAAACTTATTGGAAATATGAACATGTTCGAAAATTTAAATGTAAAGGACGAATTCACACTAACTGTACTCATACAACATTATTACATGAAAACGATAATCATAATCATCCTGGTAATTCCGTTTCAACTGAAATTCGAATATTTGAAGAAAAAATTCGTCACCGAGCACTTAATTCAAACGAAACTACACAAAATGTTATTGATTATTGTCTCACGAATTTATCTGATAATGCTGTAGCTAGTCTTCCTGATTTTAAACATGTTAAACGAAATATTCAAAATCGTCGGGGAAAAAATGATTTACCAGAAATTCCACATGATAAAACATTTAATCTGATTCCGGACAAATTAACAGCAACAAAATGAAACAGTATATTTCTACAATTTGATTCTGGTCCAGGCAATGATCGTATATTATATTTGCATCAGCTGAACAACTTCAACTTCTTGAAAGTTGCGAACAATTATTAATCGATGGAACCTTCAAGATCTGTACATTTTTCCCGATGCTATATAATTTTATTTAATAAATTAAACTCTTTAGGTAACACCATCGATTTTTTATCAATTATACGCTACGTACGTGGTTTATCGAAATGCTGTTTTACCTGTCGTATTCGCATTATTACCAAACAAAACTCAACAAACTTATCGGCGTCTTATTGATAAATTATCGGAAATTTGTCCATTATGGAGTCCAAAATTTATAATGATGAACTTCGAACTTGCATCAATAAATGCATTCGGTGATAAATTTGCAACAACAACAAATTCATCAATAATGTTCGGTTGGTTTTTTCATCTACAAAATAGTATTCAACGTAAAGTACAAGTCAGTAATTGAAACTTCTTGATAGATAAAAGATTAAAATTTGTTTTGTTTTCTTCAGGACTTATAGGCTTCAAAACAAATTATGAACAAGATCCAGTATTTGCTCATCATATTAATCAAATTGCTGCTCTTGCATTTCTTCAACCGAATGATGCTCGTCAAGGTTTTTATGACCTGTACAATTCATTACCACAAATGTTACATCCATTATTAGATTATTTTGAAAATACATATGTTGGTAGAAATCGTACACAAGGAAGAGCAAAACCAATATTTGAAATCGAATTATGAAACATGCATCAAAGCACAACTGATCGTTTAATGCGGACTATAACAATTCAAATGAGGCTTGGCATCGCCGCTTAAGCTCTATTATGCAATGTCAACATCCTACACTTTGGTCCTTCATTAATAATTTAAAAAGCGAAGAACATTATATCCACTGTGAATTGATCAAGCTGAATTGTGGTGAAAAAGTCGAACCAAATAAAAAATATTTAAATTATAGTGCACGGCTACGCCATTTAATTATGCACCCACTACCATCTATTCTACAGCAATTAGAAGGACTTGCTCATAATTTGTGAATTCTTTTTTTCTCATATCTTACTCTTTTGTTCGTCAATTATTCGTTTTGAGTGTGAGTAATTCTATAATTGTATCACAATAAAGGTAGAAATTATTCATAATTCTACTGAGTATCAGTTTCTATTTTTGATAGAAGCAAACTAATAATATTATTATACGTTTCTCCACCAATTGTCGTATCGACCAATTAATCGCGACCAATTTTCGCTCTCCCATTAATCCGAATATTTGTCTCAAACTTAATTTAGAATTTGCGAAAAATGTCCCATTTCATATGGATCTTGTACTCTTACATTGACGACAACGAAAAAGATATCCTAGAGAGAGAGAGAGAGAGATTAATTATTTAATTAGCATTCGTTTCAGATTCATATACCTTCATCACCCCTTTTCTCTACGTATGCAAGATACCAATCATTGCATTTTTTATTGCAACCATCAGTATCTTTTAGTTTTGTTGGTAAAAGTTGTAAATAGGGGTGTCAATTTACAGTTTATTTTATTTAAATTTAACTTCGTGAAAAGTTAATTTAATTTAAAATTAAATTCTATAAAGTTAAATTTAAAATAAATAAAAATTTTTCTTATACAAAAATTTAAATCTAAATTTAATAAAAATTTAATTTTTTAAAATAAAAATTTAATTTTTTAAAATAAAAATTTAAAATTTAATAAATTGTTTGGATGGATGCGCATCATTGCTACGAGGAAAATATGTGACTTTAACAGTAGTAAATACTAAATGAAAGGAAGACCTAGTATTTTAGGTTAATATTTGTTCACAATAGTCAAAATTCGTAGAAGAATGGCTAGCTTTAACTTTAGAAAACAGGAAACATACTCAAATTTGACTTTAAATAGTAGCAATCAAGTCAAAAACTATGTTTATCTACTAGTTTTCAAAATTTAATTAAAATTAAAATGTGACACCCCTAGTTGTAAATGTTGAAGAAATTGTATGATATTAAATTGAGTTATAGCTAATTCATGAAACATTCTAAGATTCATGGTGTCAATATCTTCAACATCAATAAAAGTAGCCATAATTTATTACAAGAGTAAATATGATAATATACAACGAATGAATTTGATATTCCATCGTATCCTACTTATATAGTTCTCTCTGTTGCTGCAGAAAAATTATTGAAATATAAATAGATTTTATTATTATTATTATTATTAGAATATCTTTTATAGTAAGGTCAGCAGTTATTTTGTTTTTCTCTTCATTCCTTTAGATGATTAACTTTTATTGGCAGCTGAATATTTATTTAACTAATATTCCAACATTCCCTCTCTTTGAAATTAATTAGTCTCTTCAGAAGTATTTCTTATATATACGCTCCCTTCCTTCGTTCACATAGGACATCTATTCTGAATTTTCTCTCTCTCTCTCTCTATTACTGATGGTGTGCTCATAAGCCAATAGATATTGATTTCATTGTTAGGGTGTGCTTGTTCTACATATGTACCAGCAAATTCATAGAATCCAACTGCTTCAACATTTGTATCAGGTACCATGAACTATTTTAGAAATACTTATTCATTTCAACTGCCTTACATAAAAAAATGGAGAAAATATTTTACCAACGTCTGCAGAAATTTGCAATTAATTCAACACGTTGTAAATGCATACGTCGATAATAATGCTCGCCTTTGGGTTGTAACTAATAGCCAAGAGACCATGGTTCATGTAAGAGCTATAGTGCACACGAAAATCAAGGCGTTCACAAAAATGAAGCAACATCCAATTTCAAAAAAAATGGTATCTATCGAATTATTGATGAACACTCATATTTATAATTTAGCTGTTTTTCAGATGATAGAGATAGAGAAGACGTACTGTGGAAAAAAAGTTACCATTCGGAACCAAAGCTAACTTGGTGCACTCTACAGAACTTAAAAAGAGTTCGGTACAAAATGTGAAACTTTAAAAATGTTTTAAAATTTTCAACGAAATCGAAACCCTTTAAATGTTTTGTGTGTAAACCTTGAAGTCTTTCAAAAATATTCCAAGAGATGTGGCAGTCATTGTGAATACATCTTGGATCTTTACAAAACCTCAAAAAATGTTTCGACTCCGTTGCAAAAATGGTTCTGTATGGTACCTAGTTTTTCAGAGTGCGGACCTTTCGAATCATTTATCAGCATAGATCGGTATAGATCCTAACAAATAACTATAAGCTTATTAACACTATCGCGGTCAAAATAGGAAATATATAACTATCTATGACAATCATTAGTTCTAAAGGCCTACGTGGCTAGACTTTGTGTGTGTGAGTGTGTGTGTGCTGTAATGATTTCTTCGTAACAATTGGATTAATAAGCAGGACATGATAGGGTTTGAATGAGTTTTACATCTTTTAAATATCGTAGGATTCAATGTTCTCATCTTCTGACAAAAAACAAAGTTGGTTTTACTAGATCACGTTCTCGCTCTTCGTTGACAAAATTTAGTTCAAAATGCAAGACCTCATATATTTATGTAAGGTCAGCACACAAGCTTTGAGCATAATCTTAGAAAAAACCGCAACTCCTCACAAGATTTTCTGGTTTATGTATTTTAGAACCAATTCAACTATCCGCATACATCAAGAAGAAAAAGACTCCTCGTAAAAAATGGTACGAAATCGATAGGAAATCAAAGAAAACGAATACAATATTGAATTATATACGGCAAGAAATCGTATATCGGCGTCGTCATCCCTGGGTCTCACTTTATCGTCAACAAAAACGATCGTCATCTGAATACAGAAGAAAAAAAATGATGGAACGACTTCGAAATCAATTTAGGAACCGAATTGCTTCAATAGTCAAAAGCAAATTGAAGCCTATTCGTGATGAGAGAAAAATATCACGTCCATATAAATATATGACTACGTACGGATATCACAAAAAACATGATGAAGTTTCTACTGTTAGAGATGTAGCCAAATGTACATGGCAAACCAATTTTCTCTTAAACAAGTGCTTATACTTTCCTGAGGCAGCCATAGCTTCTGCTCGTTCCGTTTCGTGTAATAATCACAAGATACTACTTAGATATTGTAACCAACGTATATTTATTTATTCAATACCAGCCAATCGTTGCAACAGACCATCAAATAAATATTTAATTAATGAATTTTCAAGCCTAGATAATATTGGACCAGGATTGTTTGATAAGCAGCGACCACCACTATCGCCACAATCACGACGACAACGACGACAACGACTGCGACGACCACAACCGCCACCTGATTTGTCTAAATTAAACTGGCCAAGAACGCAAGCACAAAAGCCAAAAACTCTACCTGCAACTCTCGCTCAGTCTCAGCATCATGACTGTATTCCCAGTCAACTAGCACAGCCAGTAAATAAAAATAGAAATAAAAATAAGTCTAAAAGACAACGAAAGAAGAATTGATAAGTGAAAATTTTAATATTGTAATGTTTTGTATATTAAACACGGCGTATAATAAATTTATGATATATATTATTCATATACGGATGTGGATGAAAAAATGATCCACGTCACCAAGCTTTGTCACTTGATGAAAAAAGATTTTAGATTCAAGAATAGATTCTATAACCTAATGATCTTAATCTATCAGTCATCTTTGATCAAATTGGTTATACTTGTAAATAATTGGAGAATTACCCAAGGGGGAAACGGTGGACTTTTGTACTTGAAGTAGCTTTGGCTACTTTAAAGTACTTTAAGCTACTTTCAAGCTACTTTACAGGAACCTCGAAGTACTTTAAACTACTTTGAACCACTTTAAACTAATTTACGCTATTTTACGCTACTCTACGCTACTTTAAACTGCTTTAAGTTACTTCGAACTACTTTTGTACTTTGATGTACTTTTCGACTTGAAGTACACCGTGTCCACCTTCAGAAATATTCAGGATCTCAAATTAAATAAGATTAAACAGCCCATGTAGCCATTTTTAGACCTTGAACGCGTCTTAGAGCGTCTATAAGCTATGCAACTTGATGCGTTTAAGCGCATCCAAAAAGCAATATTTTCTGGCGTGTGAACGCGTTCAAAAAACTAAGCCCGCGCAAACTCGTATATTTTGCAGACGAGTTACGACTCGTTTTTGTGCTTTGCTGCGTTTGGATGTGGTTATGAGATAAACGGGTTTTGACGCGTTTACTATTTTTTCTCAAAAAAATTAAAAGGTAACCATCACTCTATGTCGGAATCGAACCGACGTATCATATCGAGCTATGATATAATACTCAAATATTGTGAGCAACAGAGTGGTAATGTTTCCAATGACAACTTGAACCAAGATTTGAACATACGACCAGTCGATTACGAACCGAACACAACTAGCTCTGAGCTAAACACAGCTCGAACTTTTTTCTATGTTCGTTAGTCGAGGTATGTTCAGATTTCCGAAAAAGTAAATTTCCGAAAATACCGAATTTCTAACAAACTATTAAAAGACATCAGAGTGTACAAACAGAAATTTCCTTGAAACTTCCGCAATTACCATTACCTGAAAAAGTGAATTCTCAGAAATTACCATATTTTGAAATACCACCCAACAAAACATCTATGGAATTTCAGAAATCAGCTTCACATCCAAAAAGAAATTTTCGAGAATTTCGGAAATTTCTTTATTAATATCGTATAGGTTTAAGACTATAGATTTGGAGACCCTACCCCAAGAATGAGAAGAATTTATGGTAATTTCGATAATCACCTGGAAATTACGGTATTTACGGAAATTTCAACAAATTCTTTTTATTCTTGGGGTAGGGTCTTCAAATCTGTAGACATATTTAGTCTTAACCCTATAAGATATTTATATAGAAATTATAGAAATTTCCGTAAATACCGTAATTTCCAGGCAGTTACCGAAATTACCATAAATTCTTCTCATTCCTGGGGTGGGGTCTCCAAATCTATAGACATATTTAGTCTTAAACCTATACGATATTAATATAGAAATTATAGAAATTTCCGTAATTTCCAGGTAATTACCGTAATTACGATAAATTCTTCTCATTCTCGGGGTAGGGTCTTCAAATCTATATACATATTTAGGCTTGAACGTATACGATATTAACATAGAATTTATAGAAATTTCCAGGAAATTACTTAATTTTGATTTCTCTGTATGGTAAAGAATATTTTAGTAATTTCGAAAGTTTCTGATATTTACGAAAAGCTGACTTTTTCTCTTGTGTAATTTCCGAAATATGCATTTTTAGCTAGGAAATTACCTTTTTTGGAATTCTGCCCACTGCTGCTTCGCACCGCATTAAAAACTGCATAAAAAACTGCATAAAAAATATATACAAATGTATAAATTACGAATGAAAATGTTTTTCTTTTACTTCAGAGCAGTATTTGAATGAGCTGTAGTTTTTGTTTTCCTTTCAATATCAATCAATTCCTCTGTAACTTCCAATAGTTCCTCAATAATAATCTTACTTTTATTATTAGTACCATCAATCCAAATAGTAGCTTTCTCAATGCCAAGATTATCCTTCTTCTTAGTCGCTTTTAGTATCTTTTGACACGAACTAATGATCCCATAGTAAATATGTCGATAGATATAAAATATGGATAGAGTATCACTAGCTCCCATTCTTTGTCATTATGGACGTAACGATAGCAGGTAGCTATATATTTATAGAAACTATAGAACGATTACGAAACTTGATATATAGTCAGAGCAGATCTAAGGAACTGTCTGAACAGTTCTTTTGATAGGAACTAAAATTGAACTGCCATACCCCTAATAGTCAGAAAGATAGTAATAAATCATTGCATAAATGTTGAATAGTATTATATTTCAAAAAGTTAGAATTTTTTTTCACACTGTACACAGCTAATAGAAGCAACATATATTTAGAAAACGAAGGTGGAAACGAGACCACTGTTAGCAATGATCTTTATTAAGTTGTCTATTTAGATTTGTACCATCACGTGATCTTATTTAAAAATTTCAGGAAAAAAAAGATCGAAGTAATCACATGGACGAAGTCAATATCAACAATGAGTCATGTATGGAGAAGTGAAAAACGTAACAATGATGTGCAACTACGAATGCTTCCGTAGTTAAACTTCTCATTTATAATATTAAATCTCAGATTTTAGAAGTGAAAGCACTAAAAAATCTTAGTTTTCGTACATATCTCAGAAAATATTAACATTCGTAGTTCATTGGTAAGCTAATAGATCTTTTACAAATAGCTCATTGGTAACATCGTACAATATTTAATCCCTAAAAGTGACACAGACTTCATTTTTAAATGACTTAAAAGTATGTTTTGTGACAAATGCTATTCAGAAAATTCAGTAAATTATTTAACAACCAAGAATGCAATATGGTGTCTAAGTATTGATTACACCAGGGCTGCCAACCGACCCGAAAAATTGGGGTACATTTTGCTGACGCAACATTCGAACGCTCTAAGGATGGGGCACAGTTTGCCACAAATCCATACGAATGTCTTAGATTGCTCGAATATTGCGCCAGCAAAATGCATCACAATTTTTGGGGTCGATTGGCAGCGCTGGATTACACTTACTTTGAATAGAGTATTTGGTAATAGAATCTCAGAATGTACAGTACTGCAATATTAACTGAATCTCTTATTCAAGGATATTTTTTTCCCACTGGAAATAAAGTAATAACGTATCTATGAATCATTCCGTCTGCTAAGAGACATCAAGAGTGTTTGCGTTCTGTCAATAAACACAAGTATTCAGCGACCTATTTTTCTGTTTCTCCATAATCACGAGAAAAAAACAATGCTTGGACACTTTTATAGATTTGATTCATCTAAATAGAAAAAAAACATCGAAATTCTGTTAGTATAGAAATAAATAAAATCTTTGATTGATGATCTATCGTTTTTGAATAAGCATAAATCCCGGATCCGTAGGTTGTTGTGCAATGTCCCATCTTGTTTGTAATTCTTCTAATGTTTTCGTTCCATTAGCACGTTCAAATGAGTAATTTAAAATTAATTTTTCAATTATAATTTCCATTTCAACTTTAGCCAACCATCTTCCAACGCATTCTTTAGGTCCGACACCAAATGGAACAAACACATTTTTTTCATTGTTCGTATTCGATAAATCTTTATCTTCAACATTAATTATATTAAATTGATTTCCAAGTGTAAAATTTTCATTTCGTCTATGCATATCAGCTAAATTAATAATTATATTTGTTCCATTTTTAATTGGAATATCATTATAAATATCATCATTAATAGCACATCGCATTATAACAGGGCCCACTGGTTTAAAGCGCATTGATTCTTTTAAGCCATTTGTAAGAGTTTCATAAGAATTTTCTTTTAATTCTCTTCGTAATTGTTCTTCTAGTTCTTTTCGATCGCAAAGTGCAAGAAGAAAATAGAACATTGTTACAGATGATGTATCTGTACCGGCAATCAACATTTCTAATATACATTGATTCATTTCTTCTTTTGTTATTTGTTGATTATCAAGAGCATTTAATAGTGAATTGATAAATAAACAATTATTGTTATTATTATTATTCATTTCTCGTTCAGATATTAATTCGTTAACAACATTATTTAATTGCTCTATTGATTTTTCATGTTGACTTGTCTGAGTTTCATCATAAAATTGAGTTGGTTTTAACAAAAAATATTCCCATGCTTTAAAATATTGTACAACTGAGTTAACATAGTATTTTGTTTTTTCAATTGAAATAGTGCCAATAGGTAAATCAAGAAATAAATGGCATGTTATTGTAAATGTAATTGAACGTAAAAAGTCCATTGTATCAATAATATCTTTTTTAACTTCATATTTTTCAACATATTTTAATATATAATCAACTGCATCATTTGAAACATATTTCGCATCATCTAATAGTTTAGTATTCAAAGCTTTTTGAAAGAAATTTAAACGTTGATATTTCCATCGTTGAATATTTGTATTCCAAATAATTCCTTTATTTTTCATGCCTAAATATTCTAAGCCTGACGGATTACCAAATCTTAATGTATAATTTTTTCCATTACGTCTTAATATATAATCAGCAAAATCTGGGTTTGATATTATTATTGTTGGCTGATTAAAAAGATTTATTTGAACAATATCACCATATTTGGACGTATAATATTGAGAGGCTAATGGAACTGTTAGTACGGTATATTGAAACGATTCGGGGAAAAAAATATTTAGCAAGTTATTTCGCAGTTTTTTATTTGATATTGTCAGTATTGTGTCAAAGAAATAGTTTGGCAGGCTGATCAAAGGTTTTGGACCGGGAAATGTTTTCTTTCGAGTAGAATAACGTAATAATATATATACTGTTGTAATAAAGATAAATATTAATGTCGTGGTAGCTAGCATGAGTAGAGAAAAATTGTTCAATCTAAAAAGAATGACAGATTTCTTGATGTTCTAAGAACAAGAATGCAGCTAATAAATTCTTTTAAAAGGTTTATTTTGGGTTTTTTGTTTTCAAGAAGTTGCTGGGAAAATATTATCGGGTTTTCTTCTTGTCTTATCTGTTTTTATATTTGAAACTCATTAAAAGTGATAAAATCAACGTAAGATAGATATACCTTCTATTGTATCTAACAATATTGTACATATCTAGTCTCCAATATGGACCTTTTAAGCCACGTAATTTACATGTAAATAATTCAGTCTACAGAAAAATATCATAGGTCAATGTCTGATTTCATTAGACAAGTGTCTGCTCTGTTTGTTGCGTCAATAAAATAAAACGTTAAAGGTTAATTTTCAAGATAGCAGTTAAATTAAAGAACATGATAAACATTGCTGTTTCGAAGGGTCATCTAGAAGTTTCTTTTTTATCTGAAAATCAAGTAACATCACTCATGTTAGTATCTTTTATAGATAACTAGAGGTGTAACTGCTTCTCAGACGGTTCTTTGTTTCTTTAAGCCACATTGAAGGTGTAGATATGAGTGGGAAAAGAAGCCATGATCACTTTCACTCTTGCTTAAGAATCTCTTTCGACGACAAATAGTTTCATTCGTTTATTTGAAGAATGACAGAAAATTAATAAATTCTGCTAAGCGGTAATCGAAAAGTTTTTGCACAAGATTGAAATTCATATTTCTCTTGTTCTACTCATGCTTTGCTTCTGTTTTTTTACACAAAATACACACACTATGGACCTCTAAAGTTGCTTAATAAAATTATCGGAAATGGTTCTTTTATCTCAATGTTCTCCTAAAGTTATTCGAAGGTCCTTTTTTTCGTTTGGACAAGATGAATGTTGAAGAGCGACTGGTCTCTTCAAATTTTAGCATTCAAATTTTTTCATGGTTTGATAGAGAAGCAAAAATTATGTATATTGTAAAATTTACGCCATGATTGAATGAGTAAATACTGAGCTTTGTCAAAAATATATTTTTCATCCTTCAAAATTTGGACAATGAAAGACAGACTTTTCAGAAAAGTAAGNGGACCTTCGAATAACTTTAGGAGAACATTGAGATAAAAGAACCATTTCCGATAATTTTATTAAGCAACTTTAGAGGTCCATAGTGTGTGTATTTTGTGTAAGAAAACAGAAACAAAGCATGAGTAGAACAGGAGAAATATGAATTTCAATTTTGTGCGAAAACTTTTCGATCACCCGTTATGCATACGAGTAAGGGTGTGCTTAGCAATCAAACAGTTTATATTCAATGCGGAATACGACAGATTTCGATTATAATTCACATGGTCATTACCAGATATCTTTGAGATCTAATACTGAATAAAAAAAATTAGAAAAAATATAAAGATACACCTACTTATTCGAGTAATCTTTTTTTTCGGCAAGGCAGTGAAACACAAGAAGACGAACATCAAATAAACAGGTAGAAACGAGTGAATTTGATATATTTATATATTATCACGAAAGATATCTTAGACAGATATTCTAGAAGCTTTCGGCACAATGTGTTCAACGATCAATTCTATCCGATAGTAACTCAATTTACCGAAACAACCACGTACAATACCGTCAAAGGTCCTATTTAGCTGTGAAAACAAACGTGAAAAGTAAAACTTGCCAGGGTTCGGTCAAAGCGCTCATTCGTTGACATTAGACTTCACCAGTGGAATATGCGTAATACATAGAAAGGATGGTAATTGTTTTCCTTTTTTAATTGTTCAAAATTATACATACGAAAGTCCTCTTCCCTATATTGAAGAATTTCATTCGCGCGAGAAATGTATCTCTCAGATTCTGTTCATTTTAAATCGCTTGGGTAACTCGTCCTCGTTGTTGACGAGAATGTATGCAGCAACAATGTCAAGCTTCAATAAGATAACTAAGGAATTGCGCACTAAATAGCGATTGATTGTCTCAATGAAGAAATAGTTATATGCAACGAATAAGGTGAAGAGTTAGTCCCTGGCTGAATCCTGTCAATTTTTACTTTTTTTCCACTAATAAATAGGGATTTTGAAGATACTGTAAGTAGTTGTTCTATAAGATATCCTACGTACAAAGCAACATTCTTGTGAACTTAAATGTCAAGGACATTTCATAAGAATCATCCGATCTATTGTTGGATTGAATTTCAAAGTCTAAATTTTGTCATTTGATTTGCTAGTAAATGCGAAAACATGGATTGAGATTGAGAAATCAATAAAACCATTATCATCTGACCTCGAATTCGACCTATAATTTCTGTATTTAGCCAGAAACCAGAAATATTTTCCAAAATATATTATCTGTACCGTGCATAATCTTCACTTAGTAGCAGTGAGAATTAATAAGGTACAATAAAAAGAGGTGTTTTTACCACGAGTTCATACTGGAAAACATTTGCTTATTGGTGCTCATGAAAATTAGCTTTTTCCAATGAAAAAACATTAATAAACGATCGCAAGCTCGGTAAACTTCGATTAGAAAGGAAAATATGCTTTCATTGTTGTTTTGTAATCGAGCATTTGAACTCATTATAAATTCATAGGCATGGATTTTTCCCTAACGTAAATCGATATTTCATTTTTGTCTCAATATAATCTACTGAGGAAAACTGATAGGAAGATCCCAATTAGTTATTTATTATCCTTAGTGTGTAAATCCACATTAAAGTTTTCTGTTGTTAACTGATTGATAAAATTAAGTACAGTTAATTTCTGTCTTTCTGTATTTCTATCATATTCTTGTTTATCTTCTAGCCAGCCTTCATAATAAAGACAGGCATCACATAAATAAACAAGATCACCTAGTATTTGTAATATAACTACACCGCGCACATTGACATCATTTAAGTTTACATAAAAACGATAGGCCAATGTTGTTGCACATAAATAAATTAAATTAGCAACAGTATACAATATATGTGCCCACATGTAAACATCCTAAAACAAAATAGATGACAAGGCTATCCTATTTTTTTTTCTACTCTATTTAATTATTACTTGAGAAACACAACCACGTTTAGGATTCGTCGAAGGTTTTCTTCGACCTGAAATACCCCATTCGAGAAATATAAAACCAGATTCAATTAGATAAGCAAATATGCCAATAAGATTAAATAATAAAATTTTACCCATATATTGACTTTTATTAAAAGTTAAAAGAGCACTGATTAAATAACAATAACTGCCGAGATTTTGAAAAATACATGCAACTAATTCAGCTTGATATTGTATCGGTTCATTTTTATCGTTGCGTGATCTTACAGCATAAATATACCAGTCAATTGTATATAAAGCAGCATCGACAACGAATAAAATAGCAAGAAAAGCATAGACAAAATACGAAAGAGAATCATTAAAAATTTCGAATAGATAATTAGATGTATCAATTGCTAAATATCCAAACATACCAGCAATATAAATTACAGTTGCCCAATAGCTCCAATAATAAATGGGTACAACTGGCGAATCCATGAGATTCTGAACACTGATCAATATCAATAGATAGATTTATGCAACATAAGTGCACGTGATAAATTCGATTATGAGAAAAGAATGATTCGTTTAGTTATCTTATAGAAAATTCTAGTATTTATTAGGAAAAAAAATCTTAAGATACGTGATTCAATGCAACTATTAGTTTATAACTGTCAATACTACATTGATTTTGATCATAGAAAAAATTCGAATACAACAGCTTGTCATCGATTCCACCCATCATTAAATCTTGTGTTTTTTTATATATGAATGCATTTTATAAATACGTATGTCCATTCATGCATTTAGAAAATAAAATATTTACTTCAAGCAAAAGGAAAAGTCTAAAAAAGTACTGATGACATGCTTTTTTTCTACCACACACACTCGCTCATTGGCGGAATTTATTGGGCTGTTGATGAACTGAAAGCTGGTAAACCAGTGATAGCTCGACCGAGTATGAGTGCATGAATATCATGAGTTCCTTCATATGTGTTAACAGCTTCCAAATTCATCATATGTCGAATAATATGATATTCATCTGAAATTCCATTACCACCAAGAATATCTCGACATTGACGTGCTATGTCAAGTGATTTGCCACATGAATTTCGTTTTATTAATGATATTATTTCAGGTGTTGCTCTAGAAGACAAAACAAAAAATATATATTCGACTGAATAGTTTTCATTCAAACTTATTGTCGTCTTTCAATCGACCGACACGTAAACATGCTTGAAGACCAAGAGTAATTTCAGTTAACATATCAGCAAATTTCTTTTGAATCAATTGAGTTTGTGCTAATGGTCGACCAAATTGTTTTCTATTTCATTATAAAAACTGAACATGAACACTTATCTTTCGTTTACTAGACTCACCGATCAATCGTATATTGACGAGCAACACTAAGACAAAATTCAGCAGCACCCAATGTTCCCCATGCAATGCCGAATCGTGCATTATTTAAACAACTGAATGGACCCTAGAGATAAAATATGAATAAAATACTGGTACTGGACCATAGAGTTTCCTACTTTTAAGCCTTTCACTTTTGGTAATAAATTTTCTTTGGGTACTTGAATATCATCCATAGCAATTTGTCCAGTAATCGAAGCACGTAATGAAAATTTTCCTTCAATTTTTGGCGTTGAAAAACCTTTCATAGATCGTTCTAAAATAAATCCTCGAATTTCTTTATCATCACATTTAGCCCATACAACGGCAACATCCGCAATAGGAGAATTAGTAATCCTTTAAAAAATGTTGAATTTATTCGAAACGATAGATTCGTATAACAAAGAAAAGCGTACCATGATTTAGTGCCATTTAATACATAGACTTGTTTTTTTTCGTCCCAATGTGCTTGTGTTTCCATTGAACCTGGATCTGATCCATGATTTGGTTCAGTAAGACCAAAACAACCAATCAATTCACCAGTTGCGAGCTTTGGTAAGTATTTTTGCTTTTGTTCTTCTGTTCCAAATTCACTGATCGGAAACATAACAAGAGATGATTGAACACTAAACGCCGAACGGTAACCACTATCGATCCTATTAAAAAAAAAAAAATTGATGTTATTTTAGAGTATAGATATTTCTCGTTGTACCGTTCGATTTCTCGTGCTAATAGGCCATAGGCAACATAGGAAATACCAGCACAACCATAACCTATCATTTATTTTTATTCGATAACAAAATTATTATAATAATCCTATTGCAAACCTTGAATAGTTGGACCAAGAACACCGAGATCACCTAATTCACGCATAATTTCCGTGTGAAAAACTAAAACAATCAATCAAATAGAGAATATCAAGACAAACGAGTACGCGCATACTTTCTTTTCTATTTGCTTGGATAATTCTTGGCATTAATTTTTCTTGACAATAACCACGAAATTGATCACGAATCATTCGTTCATCATCTTTTAATTGAGATTCAAGATCAAATGGATCTTCATAATTAAATCGCACTTCTATATTGATAAATTTAGAATAGTATCAAAAGAAAAAACAATAACTTGAGCCTCACTTGTCGATGCATTCTGAATTTGCATAGCGAATGCTGGTTTCACACACTGGCGAATGATGGAAAATGTACGATGACTAATACTATTGAACATGGTGATCTACAAAATATTATGTTTTGTATATCCTGACAATTGTTTGAAACATTAATAAGAAAAAGATGAAACAATGATATTTATACATGAATCACATATAGACAAAAAAATCAATGAGGTTTGGATAAAACACAAAGAGCCACCCCACTTGTAACACAGAACATACCCATCACAAATCCTAAAATCAATTATTGAGAATAGTTCAAATATAGAAGTGAAAATTCTTACTGGAGTTTAATAATTGTGGATGTGAAATGACATCACATAAATAAGTTATAAGTAGTGTCAAAGCATTCGTCACAGGTACGGCAGTTGAGAAATCTAACATAAAAAGAAATCAAAAGAAATGTGTTACATATAACTATCCTTACCGGTTTTTGAAAGACTATAATAATAGAGAACAGAACCACATTGATTAAGTAAAAATGGAATCCAATACTATATAAAATCAATAGATAGTTATTATGCTATCGGAAAATATTTTTCTTATACATGTGGATTTGTGAAAAAATACCAGATTTCAGCACCAAATTGTTTTATTCGATTATCATACTTTATTTGTTGCAAACCTGTTGAACCTTGTTTCAAAAACCAATTGGTTATACCCCATAGGATAGCTGTTAGTACACAAAAAATGAACATTAAAATTAGCACGACAAGGTCAAAATAAAGAAAAAACGGAACAAGTCGTGGGAAGCAAACGAAATCGAAATCCATTCGTCCACACTATACCGTCTTGTGCAATCATATATGTTAAAATTCCCAATAGTTGTCGTTAGCTGTTGATCAAGTATAATTTTGCCTACTTCCATGTAGACTAGTAGCTAGCATCGTCATCATTTATTAGCAAAAAAATTGACGTTTCTATTTCTACGCGTTAGAACGGGTTTCTGAAATCGTTTTAATGCACGAAAATGCGCCCTTTTAACGCGCAGAAACGTCGATTTTTTCGTTACTTGTCTGATTGGGTCCCAGGGTATCCCGACCATTCCAACTGTGAGGACTGTAAAAATTTTCTCCTCCAAAATGCTAGCCTCAAGGGTGTCGCGAGAAAGCGAAAATTGGGGAGGGGGTGGTAGCTTATCAAATCCTAGTTTCCAAAAATGTTGAAGGAGAATAAGCAGTGTTGCTAAATCTTCCACAATTTTGAAGACTTCTGCATTTTCTCAATTTTTTTGAATTTTTTCTGGATTTGTCACGAGTTTTTTTTTGATTTTTTGAGGACTTTGAAATTTGAATTCTGGATTTTCGAGTTCAACATCTGACAATACTGAAAATAACTTATAAAATCACGCTTAAGATAATATCAGTTTTATTTTGTAAGATACAATGCAAGACAATTTTTCGAACATTGGGAGGGGGGGGGTGCCTCCCCCAGTCGGAGCACCCCTGCTCACTCCCTACTATAAAAGCGCTTGCATGTTAAGAAATAGTGTTTTAAAAGCTTGAAAATAATCATCAAAGAGAAAGGTAAACATTATGCAGATATCAAAACGCAGAGTACGTTTTATCATCTTTCAACAGTACTCAATTAGACTGACTGCTATTCGAGAAATAGAACATGACGAACCACATCCACGCCTAAAGGATCCAAGGATGCTCATTTTCTTCTATTTTTCTCGTTCTTTCCAGTAATTGTTGAGGATAGGGATGTGCAGCGTCAGTGTAAATACTGAAAAACTGGCCATCGACTACACCGAAACTGTCCAGTGGAGCACTGACTTGCACCGACTACACTGCTATCGGTGCCACCGACACCGAGCACACTGAGAACACTGAATAATTCAATCAGTATTGACTGGAACATTGGTTGAATTTCTCATGATAATTTTGGTGTTCAGACATTCTAGAATGACTCATATGTCCCATGCATTTTTGCAGTAATTTACACATAACTCTCGGATGAAATCCGAAGTTTCCACATTTATTTTACATGAGATCGAATTCGTGTTTTACGAGAAGATAAAAATCTTTAGACCTGCTTTTTCTCTAATAACAAATTAATCTAAACATAATATTTAGTAGAGAAAAAATACACATCTATGTGTCTGAATAGAATTTATGAGTAAGAACATTTTCAGAGTTAACACACCCATACCAGCAGTGTGAGTGTGCTGAGATATTCACGCAGTTACTAAATCCTAGTAAATCGTCAATAAATTAATAAATCTTGTAGAAAAATAAATCCCAAAAGAACAAGTTTCGATAGTCTCTCTTTTTGGTAGAACAAATACTGTACATGTCTTTACGTTGATAGAAAGTTTTGACTTCCGGTATATAAAAATTCCTTTTTTGCTTGCATCCTTTTGTTTTACCTAACAAAGTAAATATTCAAAAATCTGATAGAATAATTAGAAGTTTAGTCCGAATTGTTTCAATGTAGCTCCTTTCAGTTCAAAAACATTTATGCTAGGCTGTTGACCAACGGAAGCGCTTTTTCATAATTACCCATCAAGACATTGAAAGACCCAACAGTTTTGTGGAAGTTATTTAAATCGGAAAGACTTGAAGGAAGTAGCTTTTGATTGATCTCAAATGCTCATACATAGGCTTTACCGATGTTAGTGCGATAAGCATTCAAAGAAGGAAGCTTTCTACAAGTATTTCTAAGCTCTTGTTGAGAAATGAAACTGCTTTCGAATAATTTCCCATCGAGATGTATATATTATCCAATGTTGTTATAGAAAACAGCTATGTACGGATGATTTGAACAGGACATTTTTTGAATGATTTCAAATGCCTTTTCTTGAAAAGAAAACGCTTTTAGCTACTCGCCCATCTTCGTATACATCCTACCCATGTTACTGTATGATAAAATTCATCATTTCAGTTTTTTTTACTAAGTCAAACTTGACGTATCTCTACATACGTTAGAAGTAAATCAACGTTCGTTTGGGGATCTATCAACTGGTGTTCTTATCAAGATCATAATGTCATGTATCAATGAGTCTTTACTATTTCGTTTCATAGCAACCACCAAATCAATTCTTTGGGAAAAATCTAATTCTGGATAGTCAACATTAAATTATTCTTTATATAGCAGAAAACATTAGAATATTGATGTAGTTATAACGAAAAATGATACTGAAATGTAGTTGTCAAATTATAATAAACTATTCTGATCATTGAATGATGGTCATGTGATTCCGATGTCTCGATAAGTGTTATCTATTATTTCATCGACAGCATTTGCACTTTTTATTCATGAATCTTTCTTCTAATGACTATATGATAACAAAAAAAGAGATTGCACTTTGAAAATACTTCTTTCCTATGAATAAGCCAAAGAGAAAAAAAATGACGCACAAAAAATGCTGGACAAACAATGGAGAACAATCAGTTAACACAGGAAAAAATGTTGGACATGTAATAGATAAGTATAGCAGAAATGAAGTTTAAAAAAATGAGGACAAGTTTCAGAATGCACATGTTTTAGCAGTTGGATTACTAGAAAAAAACAATATTCGCTAAGTTTAATCGCAAAAAATACTCACATGGTTTTCAAAATTATCAACATCTTCATCACCTAAAATTAAAAAATAAATTTGATTAAATCTTTATATTAAATTGAATTTTACCAGTATTACTATTTGATGCTTGAGCTTGAGCAGCAGGTTGCGGATTACTCTGTGGCATAATATAAAGCTTGAAATGTGCAACTAACATTGTATAAGATGCACAAGGTTTCTAAAAAAATAGGAATACTTTTTTTTAAAGGATTCGCTTGAATTTCAAAAAAACATACTCATCTTTTCTTGCGTAGTCTTTGATATTTGTTGAAATTGTATCAACACGTAAACAATTTTTCTAAACCAATGAATAGAACAGTTAAATATATTTTGTAAAAAATGTTCTTACTTCGACATTGATTTATTTGGAACTAGGCAAAGTCATTTTAAGTTCATAGTTATGTCACTGAATATCTACTGAAATTAGAAATCAACATAGAATAATAGCAAAAAAATAAGTCTAATCACGGTATAATAGAACTCCAATATCATCCGACCCTAATTCAGATAAAATGAAGTTTTCTTGTTGATTTAACTATCATTTATCTCTCATACCATTTAGACATACGTGGTGACTTAGTCACACTATTTTTTACATAAAATGAGATTTATCTACTCTCTGATCATCTTCGTAGTTTCAGTAAAATCTTGAAAATAAATAGATCAATTGTAAAGACGCGTCTTAATTATGATCTCTGGATCATTAGAACACAGTACATACCTGATTCCACCAAACCGCTTAATAAGACCTTTGAGCAAGGTCAAAATCGCAATTACAGTTAATGGCAAAACACAAATATTTTGTTCGATTTGTTGGAAGTCAATTTTTGCTTTGATTGTGATAGATTTCTACTAAATTATTATTGATTGATAAACAGTTTATTTTAATTCTGAATCAAGAAAGTTCGAGAAAACAGAATGATATTAAAAATAGCTCAGAGGAACTTTCATATAAGTTCTCAAGTGAATAACATCAATCAGTTGATACTGCTTTATACGTATATAACAGGAAAATAAAAAAATTATAGTTGATATCTAATTAAATTGTCAATTCGCTCGAGTAGTGGTGTCAAGAAATCGTCAAAAAAGAAGTAAGACAAACATGTCTTGGTGAATATAAATATCACAACTGATAGACATGCGATTTGGAAGCCTTCTTCCGACAAGGCTCACCACGAAATAAACTTTGAAGCATTGGACCAATATGAGTGACACGAAATCGAGCTTTTGAACGATATTCCGATTTAGCATATAGAAATAAAAAAGTAATGAAACGTAAAACGAATCCAATGAAAACGAGCCAAAAATTTGGATCCTCATTATCGTTGAATGAAAAATGGTGTTCAAGAGCAGAGATTTGACTAAACCATATATGATCTCGAGTACCATTGAATGCTTTAGCGTAAAATGATGTTTCATGACGAAATAGTAAGCGTTGCGCGTGCCTTGAAAAAGAAAGAGTGACAATGAATTTTCCTTGGCCAAGATCGGCCTTTATCGGACTGAAACCCGACAATAAACAAGATAGAAGAGCAACTATGGTACCAGCCAAATATGCATATTCAGTTCTGCTAAAGATTACAGAAGTTAGTTGACCAATACCAGAACAAACAAATGAAACAAGTATCATAATGCCAAGGTAATAGGAAAAGGGACCACGCGGTACAACTTCAATATAGAGCATACTAAGATAAAGTAATGGATAGAATATCATTCGAAATATATCAACTAAACTCTTTGCCAACCAATATTGAAATGGATGAAAATAATTTCGGCTTTCTCGTTCAAATGTTTTATTTGTTGTTTCGACTCCAAACAGACGTTGACTTGATATGCATGTTAGAATGCCAAATGAAAGACTCATCAAAAAGTAAATTGTTGGCAACACTTGAATATCGCATTCGCCTTGTAATTTATTCTCAAATAAATAACCGACACATGCGCCCAGCAAAAAATAAGCAAGCGTATAAGATGCTTCAGCGGTGACACCCCGTACATAAGTTTGTTTCATTGAACGTAGGAGAATGTAAAGAAATGGTAAAAAGAATCTTTGCTTCCATGAATAGGTGTTGAGTGGTTGATTATTTATTTCATGTTCTATTTTATGATTTTCGATATAATCTGGAGCTTTCGTTAACATAATGAAACATGTATCACAATCGTTGTGCCGAGGAGGTGGAGCTTTAGTTGGATCATCAAAAAATTTCTTCGCTAGAAATTCTTTTGCTTCATCTCGTGGACCTTGATAAGCCAAACAACAATGCGCAGTTAAAAAGAAGATATCGTCGATTTTCAGAAAAAGTTCTTGACTAGGCTGATGAATAACCATTATTATAGTTACTGGTCCAGCTGCACTATATTTAATTAATTGTAATAAATCAAAAAGATGATCACAAGAAAATGTATCCAAGCCTGATGTTGGCTCATCTAGAAGAAGAACTTTTGGACATGCAGCAATTTCCATGGCGATATTAACTCGCTTTCTTTGTCCTAAATAAATTAGAATAAGAACAATCAATCGATAGAAATAATTATTATTATGGAATTCAACAGTTCATCTTTTGAGAGCAATTTTCTTTCTGAATGTTTTGCTATTTTATTTTTGACCTGGTTCTTAGAAAAAATCAAGCAAATTTCGAATTTATTTACCTCCGGATAGAGTTTTTGTCATGTTATTGCGAACAAATTCGAGTTGCAATTTTTTCAAAACAAAACCAACATCATTCTTGATAATGTTCTGAGAATCGCCAAGTCGTCGTGCTCTTGCAGAATAATAAACTGTTTCGAACACGGTCAGATCCTCGTGCATAATATCTGCTTGTGGCACATACCCAATATAATCCGTGAGTATATTGCTTAATGGTTCATGTTCACCAAATTTAATGTAGCCGTTTGCATGCAATCTTCGACGGCCATGAATTGTATCCAATAGACTACTTTTACCACAACCAGATCCACCCATTAATGCTGTTAATCGTCCAGCAGTTATGCGACCTGTAAAACCTTCATTTCGTTTCATATCGAATCGCGTAACATTTCGTAGTCGAGCTTTATAAAGATGAATATTCAACTGGAAAGTCGGCTTTGATTTCGATTTCGATCGTTCCATGAAATAGTCGCTCACTTCCGAACGATCATCAAAAGTCTTTTGTCCCCAAAGATTTTTCTTCAAGGCAAGCCATTGAAAAATTTCAATTCCCGAAACAAAAATGATGATAATGACGACAACAGCAATAACCACATTTGTTAAAAGACGTTGCCGCCGTGCTCTTCCATCTAAACAAACGAAGTGTGATGGACAAGCCAATGGTTTTTCGACACCAGTCGGACAGTAAATTGTATTGTCTGAACATAACTCAGTCTCACGTGGTGTCGTGCAAAATGATCCTGGTGGACAAAATCCTTCAAATGTCGAGCCACCGCATCCGTAACGCTCATAAGTTTTGCTTGGATTCTTTTGGCATGGTGCTGGACTTTTACATGTTCCATCGATTGCCTTCAATTCGCTCGGACAATATGAACCAGGTCGGCATGGTATGAAGCAGAGTTGTCCTTCGGGACAAAAATAACCAGGGCAGCATGCATAATGATTACGTAGATTTTGTGTTAAGTTTTGCGCTGAGAAGAACCCTGCTTGACAGGCTTCGCTATTCTGTCCACATTTTTCGAAGTTATAGCTACTGGAGACCGCCAATGTAGGATCCGTATAAAAACTGGTAATGGTATCATTATCGCAAAGATTTATTTTTATAAACTGTGGGTTCTGACAGAGCGGACCAGCCGAACACTCAGGGTTGAAACTCCATTGGGCTTGGTTTTTGTTTGGTAAGCACTGTAAACATGATAAACTATAATTAGAATACAATTCATTGACTTCGTAACAATGGTTTCCAATATAGCATGAGTTATTACTAGTTTGGCACTGGTGATTAATACAATCTTGACAAGACGCACTACATGTACTATTGCACGATTCCGGTTCTATGCGCGCCGATAAACGTAAAATCACATGATCATACGAAAATGATGGCCATGCGCTTGATTGAATAGATGGGATTATAAAAAGAAATAACAGCAAACATAACATGCTTCTTGAGAGATAAGTTTTGTGAAAATGTGCACGACTAGCTCTCCTATCAAACATTCTATTTGCTCGAAATGAATAGGCTAGAACACGGTTTATCAGTAAAATTAATACCTTTAAGAATCAACAACGAGGCGTGTGATAAGAGAAGATTAGATTGTAAATGATTCAGTTTAAAATATATTATTGTTGATGTTTGAAACACATGATTGTTAGGGCAACCCAGCAGTGTCACATCCAAGATTTTGGAGAAGTGCTCACATCTCTGCCGGGAGATGCTGCATTTTCAGCGGGGGAGCTGCAGCATCCAGTGTGAGGGATGCACATCTCTCAATGACCTGACACACATCCAACAGCAAACCACCGCATCTCCTGTGAGAGAAGCGAGCACTTCTCTAAATCTTGCATATGTGATGCTGCTGAGCTGTTTTATCTTTTATTTTTTGTCGGAAAGGTTTTTCAGTAAAACGGGTTTTTTGGGGAAATTTTTCTAACTACGGTTTTTTGTTTCTTCAGAAAATACAATCAACACGCATACAAAAAATATAAGAGAAAAGCGCAAGTGTTAAATTGGGATTATCCATGGTACTGATGATCTTATACAGTCACTTTAAATCTGGATCGACAGTTAGGACAGATGAGTTGATTCTTCGGAACAGTTGGATTTACTGTAGATGTTATCGCACTATTTTCGACGAAAGATCTTTCAAAGGTCGGATTATTATAAGGGGTAGCATATGGAATAGTTTGAGGAGCGCGGCTGACGGATACAGGAGAGCCATTTTGGGCACGAATACCTTTCCGTACTCGATAACTTGTCACTGCATACACAATAATGTAGATCACACAGGCAACCAACATTAAAACACCGGCAGCCAATTGACCTTGAACAATTGGAACTTTGATTCCATACAAGGTTGAGTTATTTGATAAACCATAGGGATCATAGTTGCTAGAAGAGGATGAGTACCACGAGTTGCAATCAGACGAGAAAAAGCAATAAGTTGGATGGTTCAAGAAATATGCATCAAAACCGATGACACACACAGCCAAAGGGAGAGCAAGAATCTGAAAGACGAGTGCTGTTATTCCACAGCAACGTATTCGACAACAACAACCTAGTAAAGATTAAGAAAAAAGCGAATAAATTAATTTTAACAAAATGAATATGGATGCAAACCTGCGGCTGCGAGTGATATCCATGCACACATAAAATTTGGAAAGGTCCAATATCCTACGAAAATGTCCATCCGTGGAAACTGAACTAGACTAATTCCAACTTCACAACCAACAATGCCCAAAGTGAGAAGCATTTGAAAGATCGACAATAAAACAGCAATTATAGTTGGAAACTTCTGTCTCCACAATTCTCGCCGTTGATTTTCCGGATTAATCATGTTTTCTTAGTTTAATAAAAATCTAAAACGATAAAAAAAACATATTTAGTCGAATGCAAGATTAACGCTTCTTCTTGTATAAGTATCGATTGTCAAGAAACGAATTAGTTTGTGTCATGTTGTTGAGATATATTCGATTGTTCGTATTTCAAAGAGTTGATGAATTCGATTGCGAAGCTTGCATTGTTTTAAATCCAATCAAACTTACGTTATATTTGAAATGTAGATATCAGTGGTTCAAGTAAAACGAAATCAAATTTAATTCAACATGAAAGAGCTATCGAAAGAAACGATGATGAACTTTATAACTATAATTTTAAAGAACAGTTTTCAACAAGACCTAACAAGACTTCTATTAGGAATCGTACTTACGTATACGTATGCAAAGTATCGGCTTGTGATCATCAACGAAGGTTTCCTTTTAAAATATACTCACCATGATTTCATCCAACAGCAATAGCAAACAGCAAGCAAGTTTGCACAATATTTTTACTCCCTGTGTTTCGACAGCAAACAAAGCCATATTGATTAAAATCCCCTACAGGTTTCTGCGAAATTAACAGCTTTTCTTTAGTCAATAATTTCAAATTGCATCGTTTCTCTTCATTTTTCTCTGAAAAAATGCTCTTTCATAACGTTGAATGAATTCTTTCTATGAATTTGTTTAGGAGTCGTCTAGGCAACATGTAACAAAGAAACAGTGATTTCGAGAAGATGAAACAAAATAAGTTTAAAATGAAAATATAAATACTGTCGTAACTCTCTCATCATCAGTGTTGTTTCGATACATGCATCACTGGGTGTCTTCTATTTAATGCTTCGACAAAAAAGAGCACTTTCTTTATATTTTTTCAATTGAAGCCGTATATTTCATATATCAAATGACGGCGATACAGTTAATAGAGTTAATTCGAGAACAATAAGAAGTTTTTCATATTCTAGATTTCCTTCGTTATCAGAACTCTCAAGTTATTTTTCCAATACGAATGGCCGAGGGTAATATCACATTATTGCTAATCTCTTCGAGCTAAGAATATTTATTTATCGTGTACAACTCTTCTGGCAGACAACGATGCTTGAGAGTATTCTCTGCAAGGGGGAAACGGCGGATTCCGGATTCCCAAGATTCCCAAGATTCCCGGGATTCCCGAGATTCCCGGAATCCCATGGATTCTCAGAACTTTTATAATAACGAATGACATTCCAGAAATTCGTATTTAACCTCTATGATCTTCACTCTAGTTCCGAAAATCTCATAGAGCTCAGTGATAAGGCTCCGCTGCTTTATCATATGACTAGAAAAGCTGCATTAAACTATTGAGGAAAAGTATTTCCTAGGCGAACTTTTGTTTTCATATGCTTGACCTGTCCAGACATCAAGATTTGTCCATAGCTCATCACTTTCTTGTTCAAGAATCTCAAGAAAGCGACGCGCATGGGAGAGAGAATTT